AAGTCTTGCTAGTTAACAAAGTAATAGTAGCTTGAGGCCTACTGGAGTCCAATGTAAATGCCTTTAAAATTATTTTACCTTTACCTATTATACTGTTGAAGTATTCATAGAATTCGAATGCGATTTTAATAAACCTGCAGCTATCTTAAATCGGAATCCTTTACTGCAACTTACTGACGTACATGCAACCAAACTCACACCCGAAGTCAGTACCATTGACTGTCTAAATCCATTTAGTGCTCGAAACTGTAAGCCGCTTTTAGTTTGAAGTTTAATTTTCTCTTACTTTGATTTACGCAAACTAAAAAGCACTTCACAATGTGTTCCCCCTTGGCTTTTCAGGACCCCAGGAGCCTCTTGCCTCGTTCCTCGTTCTATTTATCCAGCACTCTCTGAAAGTTAGTTCGTCTTTGTGTGTGTCTGTGGGAAAACGCCTTTTTATCTGTTGCAGTGCTATTTATACAGACCTCATTGAGCCAGCACCTTTGTTGAGGGAATTCCTGCAGATTTCCCGAAGTCGGGTTTTCCTACTTAGGATTCTTCTGAAAAATCAAATTTGCTGTATTATCTTTACTTTGTGTGGATTTGTATTTCTAAAAATGGGTTGCAAAATCGCATCCCAGCCAGCAGCTGTGGCCACGACTAGAGCTGACCATTTTATTTATTAAAATATTTATTTAAATGCAGCCAGCTGCTCTCTTTTTTCTCTATCACAGGCCATGAGAACGAAAACAAAAGCCAGTTCAAAATGGGAATAATAAAAGTGAAAAGTTCTGGCTGCTGCTGGATGCATATAAAAATGTCTGACACGTTGCAAAAATAGTAGGAAAAAAGGCGAGTGGTTTAAAAAATACAAACTAAAACAACAAGGGGAAAAAACTAACAAACGGCGGACAAATGGCAAGGCTAAGTCCAAATGAACACAAAAACAAAACAGACCAGGCTCACACATACATGCACACACTTTCTCTCACACACACACACACACACACATGACTGGCTTGCTGGCCATAAAAAGTCACTCAAGTGGTATTAAATGTACCACCAAGTGCAGTCGGCATCGGGAAATGGGAAATGGCAAGTGGCAAGTGAAACTGGAAGGGGAACGAAACCGGATGCTGGAAGGCAGGATGAGAACTTCGAAGAGCACCTGGCACAAACGGTTAAGAACACACACACACACCTACTTGCACACACACACACATGTGCTCTCGAAATAGAGAAAACTGGTTTCCCTGGAATCGACGTTCTCCGTTTGCCGTGTAATTTTTGATTGAAACTGAGTGAGCCACTCGTCGCACCTCCAAGCCCACTTATTTATTTGGAAACTTTTTCGTTTGCGGCTGCCTGTGGCATTAGGCATTCTTTTACACTTAACTGCCAAAAAGGTGGCCAGCTGTTGCTTCTGGCCCTCGGCCAATCCGATGCTCAATGGCTCTGCTTTTTACACAATTTTTTATTGTGCACTGGCACGAGACAAACACCCCGAAAAAAGCAAAATAAGAACGCTGCACTCCCCCTAAATCAAAAAAAAAAAAAAAAAGATCGTACACAGCAAGCGGGCAAAATAAAAGTAATAAGCGAAAAGGGTTTTTCATTTTGACCAACACCCGTTCACAGCTGGGGCCAGTTGGACAACAATGGAAATGTTTAGAGAAATTAAACCAGGACACGACTATTGCGGTGCACCGAAGCCTGCAATACCCTTGAAACCGGGCTAAAAGGGTGATGAAATATGAAAGCGGCCGGAAGAGCCGGAGCACCTGTCACCGGCAGCCACTAACTGGGTCAATTTAAGAGGCCCCTCAAGTGGTTAACTAGTTTCATGCCCGTCATGTGCACTCAAGACTACTGGTCTTTAATTTTGTTAAATTCAAAGTGTGAAAATATAAAGAAAATGGATGAAACATTTAAAATCTAAAGCGTAAAGTGAAATAAAAGTGAAAGGCTTGTTGATTCTGTAAATAATAAACAACAACTTGTAAAAACAAATAAAAGGGTTTTCCATGTGAAAACACTGAATATCTAATTGATCTTTTTCGGTTTTCAAAAGAGATTTAATGTAGGAAAACATTGAATAACTAATTGATCAAATTTCCACATTTCAGGCCACCGAACGGACGCAGTTTGTGGACTTGTTGAACCGAAAGAGAAATTGCTGCCAATATGGATTTGCCACCGTTTCCACTCTCTTCTCGCCAGCCACATTTTTATTCCGCACTATGCTTTTGATGTATGTATAAATATCTAACTAAAAAATCCATTTGCCATTCCATTTACCATAAATCTACAACTATTTTGGCACTTTTGGCATGTAAGCCAAAAACCAAAGCCGGCTGCCAAATGAAAACAAACAAAGAGAACGATCCCCCGCCTTTCAGCCAAAAAACCCCTTCGTCCGAGCACTTGAACAATTTTCACTTTTATGCAACTTTCGTTTAAAGCGAAAATACACACACATATATATAGTGGCAGGGAGAGGGTGTTTGGGGAACGAGGTGGTGCATAAACTTTTACCAGCTCATAAAACGCTCAGGAACAAGCGAACAAAATCGAATGCCCATAAAAATTGCACAGCAGGGTCAGATTCAGATTCAGATTCAGTTAGAAGGAGAAATGGTTTTCTCTTCTCTTTTTGGTTTGTGTAGCCAGCCAGCCGCTGGTTCAGATTGTGTGGTCCAACGGATTGATTTCGAAAAAGACGCCGGCGTGTTCGGTTGCCAAGCTGAAAGTGCAAACAAATGAAAATCAAACGCTGGGCGATGAAAATCAAAAGTAACGGCCACCTTGCCACTTGTCCAACTTTGCGCTAGCGATAGTAAAAAGATTAAGCTCTCCGAAAAAGTTGCTTAGAAATCGCTCATCCGCCCCCCCCTTGGCTATTGAAAGTTTTCAGTTTGCCGCTGCATACTTTACGGCGCTCCAAGTTTTCGCTGAACGGCATCAGCAGCATAAAGAGCACTTTTTATGGGCCCCAGCCATTTGGCCGTCGTAAAATAGCTGAGCTGCCCCATCGCCTGATGTCAAACGTGTTCCAATTAAACGCCCAGCGCTCCGCACCGCCCCGCCCCGCCCGTCTGCATAGTTAATTTAAATGAAATTTGTAAAATTCGTTTGAAGGCACGTGACACATGCAAATATGGCAAATAAAAATTACAACTCATAAAAATTGACTCCCTCCGAACCAGAGTCATCATTTCGCTCATGAAACAGTGTAATACACTGAAACTACACAGAGATAAAAGGATTTTATTTACTTTTAGGAATTATTTTCAACTTTTCTAACCCGAAATATTTACATTTTTATTTGAAAAGAAAGCTAAAATTCATAAGCATTGCATATGAAAATAAATTAAAGCATATTTCTTTTTATTTGTGTGCCGAAAATCGCCGAAATGTCGCAACTTGTAGCTGCCAGCTGCCACGCCCATACGGGCCATAAAATTGTAGAATATGGGGGGAGAAACAAAAAGCCAGCATGAAACTTGACTTGGGGGGCACTTTAACAAATTGTTCTTGTGCTTTAAATTCAGCCAACATAGCACACACACACCGATAATTTAACTTATTTTTCCATTTGATGTGCAACGTTGATTAAAACGTTGCAATGTTGTACTCGCTAATTGAAAGGAAAAACTGTCGCATTACAAAGGTAATAGCCAGAGGGTGTGGTTTCTCCGCTAAATTGCCGACGTTATCAAAGAATTTACGTCTAGTCAATCAAAGGTTAATTGCAGATTGTTGCAAATCAAAGAATTTTATTACGGGGTAGGGGTTTAGAGTGATAGCAGGGATAACCGTACAGAGGGTGTAATGTAGCAGTTGAAGGGTGCCATAAGTTGTAGTAAGTAAGCCATAAAGTTTCATCGCAACTCGAACGCACACACCCACCCGCACTCACATGCATTTTAATCACATAAAACTCACTTATCCTGGCAACATTTTGCGTCATTTGTAAGAGCTAAGTGTGAATACGATAGAAGCAGAGGATGGATTTGAGAGCCCCTTTTTAGGAGAGGGTTACATTAACCAGAGGATAACTGGTGGCTTAATGTTGATATAATAATGAAAAAAAAAACGTCATTAATTTAATGCATTTTTAAAGGCCCGAAAGGAAAGTTTCTATCTTACCGAAACTAAAATCCCAATCATATTTTCTATGAGTTTATAAGTTGCTTATAATGACTTCTTTAGAGTTTGACCAACTCTTCAATCCACATTATTTCTCCACTAACAAAGAGTATTAGATTAGCCTAACTTGTCTTTAGATGACTTTCGGCCTTCCCTATCCTTTTTTTAGCGCAAGCACATTTTCGTGGGAGTATTTGTACTACATACATGGCGTATGCGCCACATTTGCCAGCAAACAAATTTATGCGGCAACATATAAATCGTGTAACTGTAGCTGCCACAGTTGCTGCTACCAAGCTCACTTGTTGTCGTTGTTGTTGTTGTTACACACGCCATACGCAGCTGGCAGTCGGATGCAAATAGTTTATGCGAAAAGCTCCGAAAAAAGTTTCCAATTTGCTGGCACAGAACATCTTAATTTAATAAAGTGCCCCGGGCAGGAAAACTGAGCGAGGGAGTGGGTGGGCCGTTGGCAGATTTCGAAATTGTTGGGCTGCACACAGATAAATCTCAATTAGGGAATACTTGAATGCAGCAATAAACAGTTGGACCCCCATTCAAAATTTGTTCCTACTATATATATATATATATATCTGCCGAAAGGAAAAGAAAATTTCGTTCACTCAAACTCTGACGAGTTTTCGCTTTTATTTTTTATTCAAAGGTTTCACTTTTTTTCCTTCTAGTTTAACAAAAAGTTTTTCGATTTTTTTTTTAGCTGCTTCTGCTTTTTCTCATTGCTAATTGACACAATTTCTAGGCATAGAAATGGGGACAATAATTGCTCTGGCACTTCGTAACAAATAAATAATTAAAGACAAATAATAAAGGCAAATCCGATGAGATAATGCATTGGGTTTCCTTCCATGGAGTCAGATCAGAAGACTTGGACGCGGTGATTCTCACGATCGCAGACCAAAATATTGCCATTGGACATAATGGCCACGCCCTCGAGTCCTTTGAACTCCGAATCACCGGAGCCCCAGGAGCCGAAGGTTTTCAGGAAGCTGCCATCCGGATTGAAGATCTGTATGCGATTATTTCCAGAATCGGCCACGAATATATAGCCCTGATCGTCCACGGCCACACCGCTAAATACGAGAAAGGAAAAAAACAACAAGACATGCCCTCGTTAACACTTTGTCAATTAAAAAAGGGGGAAATTCGATTTGCTTACCGTGGAAACTTGAACTGGCCGTCATCGGAGCCCTCGCCGCCCACCGTGGACAGCACTTTGCCGTTTACGTCGAAAATCTGCGGATACGGAAAAAGGTGACAGGCGGAGAAGGTGAAAGAAGGTCAAATAAATTGCGAAATGAATCTCGATTGGTGAGCATATTTTAATTAAAATTGTTCACATGGCCAGACAGGCATGAAAAGCCGCTGGACCCAGGAGGAGGAGGTGCAGCCGGGGGGCTTGGGTATTGGCTCACCTGAATCCTGTGGTTATTCGAATCGGAAACAATCACACGATTCGTGTTCGATACGGCTATATAATGCGGATGCTCAAGTTGTCCCTCGCCACGGCCGCAGGAACCGAATTTGCCAACGAAGGAACCATCGGATTGGAAAACCTGACGAATGCGAATATTCGATATAAGTTTGCAAATTGAAATGGGCACAGAGAAGCACTCGAACGGATGGACCTTGCAGTAAGGGAGTACACAAAAACTCAAATATATATATATTCCAGTTAAGCCCATGAAAATTGCTGAAGAGGCGGGCAGGCTGGTGCAGCCCGTCGAGTGTGACAAATTGGGCAAGACTCGAGCCAAAACTCCCCAGCCTGCCGCCGCTGCTGCCCCACTGAATATATAAATATTTGCATGCAAATCGAGATTGAAGATGGAGGCGAGCTGGAAAAGGCTGCCAAGGATGGGAGGGACCGAAAATGGGATGGGATGGGATGGGCAAAGTCCCCCAGCCCCAACCTCACCTGCACTCTGTGGTTCTCCTTATCGCACACGTAAATGAAGCCGAGTGCATCGGTTGTTACGCCCCAAGGATAATTGAATTTGCCATCTGCGGTGCCCTGCGAACCGAAGGCGCGCAGGAATCGTCCTTGCGGATCGAGCACTTGTATGCGATGATTGTATCTGCAATCGAAAAGAAAGAGAATACACAGTAAGGAAAACTTCATTATTATCTTATTTAAGTTGGATAAACAAAACTGGAATTAAAACTATTTCATTGGTGCAGCATTCTTTGACAAAATATTAGAAAATGGTTCTGAAATTCCTTGAAATTTTAGTAAGGAATGATTCAAAATTATGCCCCTTATTTATTTCAGTGTAGGTGGACGGGCCAATTTATAGGGCCATCAAATCGGCAAATTCCCCGTTAATTGTGAACCGGAGCCAAGTGAGATCTCATTACGGGTCCCCGAAAGAAGATTCGCGGGTCGCCAGCCAAAGTGCGACGCCTTGGCATTCCAAGGTGTTGGGCGCGGATTTTTCGGTTTACAGTCGTGGGTTGCAGGTTGTGGGTCGTCGGATGTGGATGTTGTACGGCGGCAGTTGATGGGTGTTGGGCTTAGGTCTAAGCCGCTTAACGTGCAAAATCAAAGTTGACTCGCACAATGAGGATACCCCCGGCTCTGGGTGCTTAACGAGATTTTGCGTCAAACAATGACAGCGGCAGCCGGAGGAAGATTGGAGTTCTGAGAACTGAGAGATGGTAGCTTGGAGGGGGAAGCTAAAAACACTCGTAAAAAGGTTGCAGATAACATGTGCAGGACCGCCAAAAACTCGTACTCCGGCTGGCTGACCCGGCACATGTTTCTCATTAACGCGGCTATTATGCGCTTAGCCCTGCCAATTAGAGGCGGAGCTAGGACCTGGGAATTAATCATGCGCCTTTGTTTCGACTTAATTAAAACGCAGACTGACCGCCAGCAGATGCTCACCCACTCGGAGATAAAGTATCACCGGAGATAAAGTAGTAAAGCCGATATTAATTTTGTATTTCTGATAAACCCTTGGACACTGAAGTTAATCTAACAAACTGATGGGCAAAATCAGAAAAAATATATGAAAAATCGAAGAATGGAAGGAAAAACATTTCTACCAAATCCATTTCACTTACATTTAGAATATTATTAAAAGAAATACCTCTTCACTTACCTATCGGCTATGATGTATTGACCGATGCGATTGACGGCCACACCGGCGAGGCAATCGAATTCGCCCTCGCCATTGCCGTACTCGCCGAACTCCTTGACAAAGATGCCATTGGAGTCGAAGACCTGGACGCGGTGATTACTGGAGTCGGCAACCACGATACTATTATCGGGACCGACGGCCAAACCGCGTGGCCATGTGAAGGATCCGGGCTCGCTCCCCCGGCCCCCCAGCTGGAACAGCTGCTGGCGCTTGCGTAGGTACACCTGTTTAGGGATAGTACCTGCCGCTCCGGTTATACCGGCTGCTGCCACTGCTGCTGCTACCGTAGGGGACGTAGGGGAGCCTAGCCCGTTTTTTGACCCGTCATCGTCGGAGGAGGCCAACTCGTTGGCTTGACGCAAAGGCAATCCCAAGCTCAAACGGCGGGACACATCGCTGGCGGTGCTGCGACCGCTTGTGCCGCTCGTACCGCTACCGTAGCCGTGCGCATGCGACGACGACGCCGACGGCGCCGTCGATGATGACGTCGAGCCGCCGGCATGCGTGTCGCGTGCGCTGCCGCTACTACCGGCCGAGTCCTTGCTGCCCTTGTTACCGTACTTGTTCTTCAGGTACCGTGCCCATGAGCTCAAGGCCTCGCCGTCCTTGCTGTCCGTCGTCGAGCTACCGCCCAGACCGCTGGACCGCGACGATCCTGCTCCGCGATCGGTGATCGGTGAGTTGTCGCGCGATTTCAGGGCGTGAGAAGAGCGACTGCGGGAGAGGTCACTGCTGCCATAGCCGCTGTACCTGCAATGGTATTTTGATTAGCTAATGCTTCCGGGCACGGGCCCACATGGGGGATGGGGTGAGATGAAATGGTACGGACTGCTTTGGCTGAATTTGAAATTGATGAGGCGCTTTCAACTGAGAAAAACAGGTTTCATTTATATCAGGATAATACCAACTTTTCTTTCAACTAATAAATTCATTTCCAATCACTACAGCTTTCGAGGAACTTAAGGAAAGAGTCAGAGAGAGGAAAGTATCAGATTGCAATATAAAATCAAAAAGTTACAGAAGTAATTTCAGTGTAAAAAATCGTAAAGGAAAACATTTTAAAAATATTTTTAATATATTCCTGATTTAAAGAACAACTATCTTTCCCAGCTTACTGATCTAAATGGTGCATGAGAACTAGTGCTGCATATGTACAGAGAGATTTAGAGAAGGGGGAAACTTCTTGGTTGATTTCCAGTTAATTTCGGTTAATTGAAAAACGCGCAGAATTTTGTTTCTTCCTTAACGACAAGTAAATGACTAATAAAAACGAAAAAATACAGAAATTAAGAAGAACTAAAAATTAAATCTAAAAAGTTGAATTAGTGTAGAGTGCAACATAAACGAGAACGAAACGTGGCGAACTTCGGACGTGGCACGCACAGAAACTCAACTCAAAAATAAAAACCATAAAACCAAATGTAAAACTAAAATTTTAAGAGTTTAAAAAAAATTAATATAAACCGGGGGACAGCACACACGCACAATGAAAGCGCCCAGCGCACGACAAAAATTACTATCGGCGGGAAATATATTATTATATCAATATGTACAGCCGATATAAGTATATATATAATATATATAACCTATGTACAAGGGCAAGGGGGTGGGTCAGGTATATAGAGGTCTTATATAGCTCAAAGATCTGGTGTCTCACGCGCACCTTGAGGCCAGGTAAGCGGACGGCGAGACCGTAGTGGGGGACACCGGCTCATCCAGATCCTCGTCATCGTTGCCAAACTGATGGGACGAGCGGCTGCGCGCCAGCCGTGTGCGTCGCTCCTTCATGGCCAAATAGCGGGAGCGGCCTGTTCCATAACGACTGTCCGAATCGTCACCAGTTCCGGTTGCATCCTCATCGAAGGAGGCGGTGGGCGTGGATAGCGAGGGTTGCGTTACAATGGCGCTGCTCTTGCTCTTGTTTAGAAAGCGGCTTGTGTAGCTGCAAAAATGTTGATTCGGTTCGGTTTTTTGGTTTGGTTTTGGTTTGGTATGGTTTGCTCATTTCGTTGTTTCAAATCAACAAATTTTGAAAAGTTTTTGAATTTAATATACGGTGTACGAGTATTTGCCGTAGCTGTTGCTGTGTGTGTCTCATTTCTCGTTATTTTTCAATTTAAACTTATCCCTGGGACAACCGCCGCTTAATTAAACTAACTTTTAACCAGCTTAAGTCCGCGTCTGTACCAGTAAGTGTGGGTCGCATTTATTAGCCATTAAATTCTATTAAAATATATCGAAACTCGAGCACAAAGTTTCTAATTAAATTCACATTTCGCATTATCGAAAGTTAAACAAAGTAGTTGGCAAAAGTTCGGTTAAGTACGTGAAATTATGGCGCCAATAGGCGTCCGTGTCTGTGTGTCTGAGTGTGTATTTGTGTTGGTTGGTGGTGGGTGGCTGGCTGGTTGGGCGGGTTAAGAAACACGAAAAGCAACAACTACTACAAAAACATCAACCAGTACCGAGGCACGGAAAAATAACATCATTTAAATGCTTAAATCTAGGTGAGTACGAGTGCAGCAAACGCAACGCAAATGGGGCAAGCAAAGCAACAACAACAACAACAACAACAACAGCAATGGCAACTGCAACAGGCAGCATCATCAGCGGCCCAAAAAAGCAGGCAACACTTTTTGCTACTGCTTGATTTTCTCCCTAAAAAAAAAACAAGAAATGACTGAAACTGCCGCTGCATATCTGTTTACACTGTTTAATTGCCAACGATAAAAAGCAGCTTTAACAAGTGAAAGCTATATAATCCAAAGCTACGACCAGCCGATACTGGTCAGTTTATTTGATTTTATTTTAAGTCCCTGAAAAGTACCCATATGACTCTTACAGACTATGAACACATGCTGGGTAATAAATGAATCCTTTATTAATTCCATTTTCTCTCTATTCTCCTGGGATTATTTAACATAAGCTTCATTGAGCTGAATATAGGCAATAATCTAACAGAGCTATCGAATTCTAAACTTCGAATTCTAACTTGTAATATTTTTTAAACCAAAGTTTGTTTAACTCTTTGGGGTCTATCTGAAGAAGTCTGTGGTAGAAAAACAATCTACCCGACTTTTGGCTGAACCCTTTAAACTTTAAATTGTATGCAACTGAAAGCTCTGACTTTCTCCTGTAGAGCATAAATCCAGCTTCAGTTTTAATAAACAAACACCTAGAATAAATACGGCAGTGATAAACACTGGCTGGCTGATAGACTGCTGAAAATTATATATACGAGTTTGCTGGCATTCGGAGTGATGGAAAATACCAATTTATCGCATTGTTCCAGGAAAGCAGAAGCGAGTGGGGATGATTAAGTGGAACAGTAGGACGGAAAGTGGAGTGCGAAATTGGTTGGAGGAGGGGCTGTTGTAATTACATTACGCTAGATTTGTTGCAGGGGAAAAAGGGTTCGGTGTTTGTTGTTGTCGTGCAAAAGTAAAATTAAAGAAGTTTTTGTCGCCCAGGCACAAAGGACGCGACTCGCATCGCATTGAGCCTGAAACGGAGGGCCGCGGCATTGATCCCTTTGAAAAGGGTATTGACAGAGAGACATAAAGGCGGTTGAAAAAGGCTGAAAAAACAGACTGACAAAAAGCGAGAAGTAAAGTTAATTTCCAGCCCTTTGAGTGGCTCTTTTTGAAAGGCACCATCATCATTGACGACTCTATTTGCCCATTGAAGGTGACTCCGAGTACTCAAGTTGGCGAACTTGTTCAATTTTATTTCCAGCTAACATTCAAATATTTAATCAATAGGGTTAAGCACTCGTTTAACATGAGTTGGCTTAGTGGGTTAGGCTAGGCGGGGGGATTGGGAGGTGCTTATTTCAGAACTCATTCAACATTATGGGTTAACAAACAATTGAACTATGAATTGCATTGAAGTCGAGTCGATTTGGCCTGAGTTTCACACATATATATATATATATATGGTATTATATAGTATATAGTATATCGGGCTAGACATCGGTAAGTCGCTTTCGGTAACGAGCCCGGCTGGGTCTGCTTATGTACGGTATGCTAAAGGGCAGTGCACTGCAAAGATCATTTAATAGAGAACACAAAGAGAGAAAGAGATTGATAGAACGGTGTGTACTAGTGTGTGTTTACCTATCAGAAGGTTGTGTGTATGTGTGTGTGTGTGTGTGTGTGTTTGTACTGTATGCGAGTGTCGTTTTGCTATGTAAAGGTTATGAACTTGACAATTAGACGCCACACGAGGCGTATGAGCAACAAAGTGGCCAATGCCATGTTAATGCCAGGACGGAGCACTTGTACAAAGCTGCAGCAGTGAGATACAATGGGATACAAAAGAGAGACTTAGAAAGCACACATTAAAACGCATCGAGAACTCGTTGTGAAACCAATCCAAACCAAACCAAAACCAAACACAATTATCCATTAGGCATATCGATTAAAGCCACTCTGCAGTCGTGTGTGCAAATGTGTACCTAATTAAAATTGTAAATTAATAGCAGGCCGTGTTTTTTTTACATGTAATTTAATTAGTATGGCGCAAAAACGAGAAAAACAAATTGCCGAACTGCAATATTTGACACACACACAATTTATTATTTGCCATGCCCATCAGATATTTATATCTGGATAGTTGCATTGAAGAGTGGTAGCTACTAAGCTGTTGCACAGAGGAAAATTGTGTAGTGATTTGAATAGACTTAAAGTTCAGAAGGCACTGAACACATTTCGGCGAAATAAAAGAAAATTTGAATTGATAATACTTTATGGCGCTTAAATGTATGCTATGGTATTTCTTCGACGTATTTTAATTTAATTTTTAGTCCAAATCCAATTAATTACGTTGATAGGTTTCAAAAATAGTTTAAAATATGTAAGTAAAAAAATAAGTTTAAACTCAAAGACTTCAAAACAGATGAGTATGTTAAAAAGCATGAAGTCTACCAGACAATCAAACATTTTGTTAAGAATATATCTAAGTTTAATATACAAATCCCTATTATTTATACTAAAGGCAAGTGTCATCACTTAAAGAAAAATAATTATGCATTTTTTGTTAATTTAATCCTCTGTGCAGACTACCATATGAGTGTGTTTTTCATATTATCTATTCCGCTCGCCTCATTAGCCATGCAAATTAGTTCTGTTATAGAAACTACAAATTGTATTTTTTCTTTAAACGCTTTTGGATGGAAATACCTGCTGCCTGTGCCGCTTCCATAGCGATCTTCGCTCTCGCTCGCATGATGAGGAGCTGGTACAGCTCGCGTACGTCCGCTGCTAGTTCCACTACCACTTCCATAACCGCTGCTCGAGGGCGTGGCATAGCTGCTTCGCCCCGCCGCCGTCGAGGAGCTATCATCCCGGGAAGCTCTTCGGGCCTCCAAGCGATCCCTGTAGGATCCACCACTGGTGGAGCTACTGGCTGCCGTGGTTGAACTGGCGGCGCTACTGGGTGTGGATTTGGTGTTGGTGCTACTACTGGTGGCACTCGTTTTTGCCTTGGTCTCAGGTTCCGATTCAGATTCGGATTCCGAACTGGTTTCCTCTTCGCTACTGGAACTGGACTCGGCCTTCTTCTTGTCCGCGGAACCATTGGATGTATTGGCGGTGTTGTGTTGCGGCAGGAAACGGCTCACGAATGGCTTCTTTTCAGGAACAGCCGTCGTATCCCGGGCAGTGGAATACCTGGATGAACTAGGCGCCTTGGGATTTTGTGTCGTGGAGTTGCTGTTGCCACTGGTGGTTGTTGCAGGTCCAGCCCCGGATGTGGATGTGGCTGTGGCAGCTGCTGCTGCCGCCGCCGAGCTTGCTGAGCTTTCGGTGGAGGCACTGCTGTCACTGCTCCCGGATCTCTGGGTCTTCTTCACCGCTGCCACCTGGGCGGAAACTGGCGGCTTCGACTGTTGGATTGTAGGAGTGGGAGTTGCATCAGAGTCTGTGGCGCTGGCGGTCTGAGTTAGTTCAATTTTCGGTGTTGGCAAGCGACGAAACGAGTAACGAATGCGATGCAGATGCAAAATATAGAGATTTTGAGATAGAGAAATAGAAATGGCGATGCTGATATATGGACTTGCTGAGGGACGGGTGTAATGTCTGGTAACAAGGCCCCAAGATTTTGTGTGTATGCAAGGGAAGGTTAAAGTTAAACTAGAATATTTACTCCAAAAGTTCTTTTGATCAACTTTTTGTAAGTAGGTAGTAAGCAAGTCTGACCTTGGACATGCAAAAGGTTGACATAAGGTTTTCTCAAACCGAAAAAGGCTGCTTGAAAGCCTTCAATTAACTACTTCCTCATGGCGTTCATAGCAATATACATACTTTTGTTTCCGATAGAAAGCAAACAGTTGTAAAATCTAAGCCCTCATAGACAAAAAAAGTTAATATACCTTAATATTCTTACTGAAGTGGCCTGCCTTTTTGAAAAAGAACTTTTGTTTCAACTAATGCCTTCTAACACACTTCTAACATAACATAGCTCCCCATTATGTTATTTCAATTTTGAGTAGCCTTTTAGTTGCAACGAAAGGAAATTGTAAAATTCGTAGAAATAATAAATGCCCGGCATCCGACCCTTTTCATTACATATGATATTTCATCCACTCCCTTTGATGTGGCCCTAATTGATCAGACAACCTTTTCCTATTCCCATTCGGTAAATGCCAAAAACAAGACAAATATGCAGCAACTGTGCATATGTCTCTCACTAAAGCATATACGTGTGTAGTATTTGTAGTGTGTATGTGTGGAGTATTCATTCACACAGATACACACGCACACTATGGAAGACTGGAAACATTGTTAAACTGACGGAAGCAGCCGCATCGCTGACATTCGCATGATGGTGGAATATTCGCCATTGAACCCCACTCTGTCTGCCACTTTTTGGTGGGCGGTCTTGGGGGTACTGGGTGAGGGGCGTGGCAACAATGTGTGAATGCATGACATGCGAAAAAATAAAGGAGTATAGGATATAGGAGGAGGAGGATAAACTGGATGGAGGCAAAGAAATACATACACAACAGAAATATTTACAGCGGACATCAGAAATTGTAAACCAACAAAACGGCAACGAAAAAATAAAGAATGGAATAAAAAGTATTCAAGATGATGAGAAAGAGAAAGGGAAAACATTTAGAGAGAGAGAGAGAGAGAAACCATGAGGAATGTCGCTTTGTTGATCAGGGTCTGCGGTTTATTCAGCTCGACAGCATTTGCCAAAGAAATTTAGTAACATTTAAGCAAATTAACATCACTACCACATCGTTTGTCCACTTGCAAAAGAGATTCGCATGAGATATATGTAGATATGAGAGATATAGATAGGTAAAGATAGATAAAGATAAACAGAGAAAGGGAGAAACAGAAAGATTCGAAAGAAAATACTTGTTACATCAAAAGAATTTTGTAATTTCTGGTTGCTTTATTTGCTTTAACTTTTTGTGCAGTCTCTAACTAACGATAAGGTATAGGATGTTAAACTAGATAAATAAAAATTTCTATATATCCATATATTTGTATACAATATTGTACAATTCTGATGTCCGAGCTTTGGGTCGAAACTTTGCCTTCGCATTGCATTTAGGTTTTTAGTGTGTGTGTGTGAGGGCAAAAGGTTCTGACCCAAAACAGCATTAGGTGAAAGGCGCTCACAAGACAATAAACGTAAGTAAACCAAATGGAAATAATGAAAACAATCAGAGTAAATAAATAAAGACATGAACTTAACGTACACGAAAAAAATAACAAGAACAGAAAACAAAAATAAATAAAAACCAAACAAAATGGGACAAATTTCGGAAGGGGGAAATGCTTTTGGTTAGGTAAGATTAACAGTAAAAGTAACGATAAACAGTTATGTTAAGTTGCTCTCTCGACTGGATCGACAAAAAACATTAAGAGAACACTTACGGAGCGGGGGGAAGTGTGAACGATGGAGCACAAATAAAGAACGAAGCACACATGGCGTATACGCAATTATCGTTTTAAGTTCTTTCGGCGGGATTTTGCAAGAAACAAGGGTGAAATACTGAGCCAGGCTGCAGTGACAGCGATCTCATCTATACAATCTATACAGTATTCATAAGCTCGTTAGCTATCTACATCTTAAATCTTTAAGTAAGATTGGAGTTCTAGATAAATAATCTTTTTTTCTATAGTAGTACGTCCATTTTTAGGTATATTTTGATGAGTTTTAAACTGATAAAACGAAACATCTAGATTTAACATACTCTTTGGTTATCCCTCTGCTATCTACAAATAACGAAATATCCTTTCATGGCCTTTTGGCTTTACCAACTGATCTTAATCCTCTTCCTCCTCCTCCTCCTCCTCCTCTTCTTCATCTGTGACCTCTATCTCTTCTTCTGTGTACTCCTCTTCATCCTCTTCTTCTGGGCTTTCTTCTGTAGATTTGTCTGTTTCTTCTAGAGGTTGCTGACTACTAATGTGATCTACTGGGCTTTCTTCCACTTTTTGGGTCAAATCATTTTCGGGTGGTAGAACATTAATCACTGGAAGATTCTGATTTTCTCTATCAGCTAAGATTTCGAGGTCTTCTTCCTGCTCTTCTTCACTTTCGGTGGCTGTGACTTCTTCGTACTCGGAAGAGGACTCCTCCTCCTCCGTTACTTCGGAAGAGGTCGGTTGCAGGGATTCCTCCGGTGGGTTAAGCCGTTCCCTAGAAGCCACTTCTACAAATTCTTCTGCTTCTTCTGCACCCTCATCCTCTTCTTCTTCCTCCTCCTCTTCTTCGCTGTCACTGCTTTCACTGGCCACGCCTTCTTCTTCTGTATTTGCCTCATTCACACTTACCTCGGCTCGCGTCGTAGCTGCGGCACTATTACGCACTGGAGACGCTGCCTGGTTGGAGCTTCCATCGCTTTCTTCTCCGCCTCGATTCTTCAAAGCTGCCACCCGCTGATCGCTGGCTGCATCGCCACCACTTGACGTAGATGTGGCTGCTCCGGCTGTCGATGAAGATCCGGCATTCTTGCGCTTCTGGCGCGCCAGCTCCTCCTCGTCGGCGGCAGTTTGCTGATTCTTTTGCTGTTGCCTCTGCATTGCAGCCTTTTGGGCCTGAATGGCGGCTTGAACTGCGGCTTGAGCTGCAGCTGCGGCATCGGATTTTTTTCTCTTTTTTTCCTTGCCAATATCCGCCAGACGCTGGACAACTCGCGAGCAGTCGCTCAAACGGATAATGCCACTTAACTGGCCGCGGGACACATCCTCGCTGTCCAGGACGCGATCCTTGCGCTCCTTGAGCTCCTGCTGGCGCTGCTGTTGCTGCTGTTCGCTGTCGGAGTCGTCGTTCTGATGGGATCTCACGAATCGCGAGCGGAATCGGGAGGACTTTCCAGCCCTGCCCGAGGAACCATCGTTCTCGTAGTCGTTCTCGTAATCGTAGTCCCCGCCACCACCACGGCCATAACGATCGTTGTTCGCTTGGGTGGCGCTGCGCTGTGGGCGTTCGCCGAACTTGCGACCGCCCAACACGGGCTCATCGTTGTAGCCACTGCGCTCCTCCTGCTGGCGGAACTGGGTAGCCAAACGGTGATCACTCTTCGAACGCATTAATCCCGGTTGCAAAGTACTGGGAGGCGCCAGGTGGGAACTGCTCACCGAACCACCACTTGGTGTTGAGTGGGGCGCGATATTCAGATCGCCGAAGGTGGCCAAGTTCATGACTAGCTGGTTGGGGTCTATGGAGACCAGGAACCGCACTCGTCGACTATAGTCATTGTTCTCGTACTCAAAGTGACGCAGGAACTCCACCGTCTTCAGGAAGATCTCCTTGGTGTCCATCAGTTCGCAATCATCCCACTCCACAGTCTCGTTCATGTACTTGTCAACCGTATCGCAGTTGCTGGTGATGTTTGTGATTTCCAAATCGAGATTCTCTTTCAAGGTGGTCAGATTACGCAGTTCCACAGCCAAGTATCGATCAATCTCGCCCTTCAGCTGATCGGAACGATCCTTAATAGCCTTGGTGATCCGCTGGTAGATCTCATCGATCTCCTCTGTCACACTGATGGCGTTCGTCTGCAGACTCATGGTATTCTTTTCGATGATGGAAAGCGAGTCCTGCAGTCGGTGCAAACTGCGACGGATCTATAGGAGAAGATATAGTTTAGGGATCAGAAACGAATTCTTTTGTAGTCAAGTGCTTAAAAACTCCTCACCTGTGAGTTAAATCTCGTGATCTCTCGCCGCAGAATGTCCATGTGGGCGCTTTTGCAGTCCTCGCAGATCTTTTTCTCGCAGTGGGCACAGTGGGATAGGTAGGCCTTTTCCGAGCAAACACCACAACGCTCCATAATTTGACCTGCAAGAGAGGCAGGGAGACAGAGAAGGGAAACAATTACTAATCACACCTGGCAGCCAAAAAACACACTTCCAAATGGGCATCACAAACGACTTCCTGCCTGCTTGAGTTGGACAATAAAATGCCAAGTATGCCGGCAGCAGCAGCTCATCAATTTGCACTCTTGGCAACAATGTCTTGCCACATGCCAGGGATGCCGAATGAAAAGTGCTGGTGGGAAGTTCGCCGGGGTTTGGGGATGTCGACTCGGATGTCTGTTGCATTCACTAATGCGATTTCAAGAGCACGAAATCAACTGCACCTAAGCGCCAGTTATGCAGCTATACTCGTGTGCATATCTGTGCACTTAGAAATATTTCTTTGTCCTGAACTCTAAGATTCTTTGTTGAAGTAATTTTAACATAAATACTAAATATCTCTTAAATTACTGTACCTACTCAAGAGTACTCTATGGTACTTAGCTAATTCCAAAACAATTTGAAGAAGTTAAGGTGTTAGAAAGATTTTCCCCAGTGCCTTTCCTTTTCTGTATGCCACATCTCTTGGCAGAGGATCCTTTGGCTCGTTGACGATAGGATGCCTTCACTGGGGCAATGCAAATAACGAGCCTCAGCAATGGGGCTACAATGCAAACATGGCGAAGACTACTCCTACTACTAGTACTACTACTGCAGCCGTCTCAGCTTGAAAAAGTAAACTTTTCTGCATCAATTGCTGGCATTGGCAATGCCTGATGAACACACTCCTCAGTAGCTTTCCCTGCTTTTCCTGCTTGACAATAAACCAGCAGGAGGTTCGTACGAGGGAGTGCCTTATGCCAATAGTTGGCTTCTGTATTTTCTCGTGTAATCATATGGAAAAGTGAATTTGCAAATTCCACATGAAAGTTGTACGAGTGCTCGTTGTCCTTGCTATATCCATAACATGAAAAGGATTCCTTTGTTTCACACATTTGCATAGTCCAGGAAATTTGTAAGGCAAAAAAAATATATAACGTTCGGATGCACAGGGAACTTAACTTATGTGATAAAAAAGACTTTCTCTATCTTTCAGATTTTAAAGGGGCTATTACACAGTTTTGCCTAATTTTTTATGAGTATAAACTCTACTCATGTACTGAAGAAAAAGAATATATAACAATCTGTTAATATTTCTTGACATATCTCTTTACATCTTGTTTTTCTTTCTGTGCAATATTTAAGCCCAAGAACTTTGTCTGCCTTATTAACTCTCACTTGATCCTGATTGCAGCTCGAAAGTTGCAAGCCATTTGCATATTTACCATCACGACCATCAAGTTTTGTCAGATAGAATTGCTAAGTCATGCTTAGAAGAAGGTTAATCCGCAATTTGGTCTGGGCCAAAATGCAAATTGCTCAAACGAAATCAATTTGGCTTTGCTTAGTTTTAATTGCTATCAGTTGGCAAGAGTGTCTGACTTTTTAATTGGAAAGTCAAAGCCAAAGCCAAAGCCAAACATAATGGTAGCAAATGCTAGTTTTTCGTTGCCTTTGTTTTCTGGCTAAATTCCAATCATTTTCCGCTTGCCGTTTTTAGTGGAATTTAATTAAAGTTACATCAGTGATTACGCGGCAATACTTTTTATTAATAACATTGTTGTTTGCCCTTTGCCCTTTGTGCAATTCAGTTTCGTTTAATGCGAACTAAGCTATTTGTCAGTTGGAATTTGCAGGCTAATATTTAATATTTATTGCCAAAGGGAAGGATTTCTCTTTTTTGTGACATTTAAAAAAAAGAAAAATGCGACTTACCTGATGTGGGATCGGGCAGTTCTCCAGTGATTTCGATGTGTAGCTCTAGGAAGCGTTGTAGGGTGACGTTCGTTGGAAAGGCCTGCACGCCATTGTAGGGTATCCGGTGTTCGGCACGACACTCCGGGCATTTTACCTAAATGATTCGCAGAAATGTTTTCATTAGTCTAGCAGATATCATTCGCCCGAGGCGCTGATTCAATGTAAAATCCCTTTGTAAGGAAATTACAAAATTGTTGTACTTAAGGCTTAGGGCTTTTAGCTGCTTTGATTTCGGATTTGGATTTATATCCTTAAGACAACTATTAAAGTTATTTGTTCTTTAAATATTTATGCACTGTACGCAACTCTAAAAACCTTTCACATTTTGTTAGTTTCATGAGAAGGCATCTTGAGTGCGCTTTTTCATCTCCTGTCATCGTTTTTCACTTGCCATAAAGATCAATTTCAGTTTGTGGCTTTTCTTTTCGCATGACAGGTATATTGCAAGTCTTATAATCCGATTTTTTTGGTATCTTTTTTTCTGAGTTTGGCCAACACAATGAAAATGCTTACCAATTATTTGCGTGGCGCTGGCTAAAAGCCAAAACAAAATTTATAAATACATGCAGACTGAGGCGCTCTATAAGTAGCGCAGCACACAGATACACACACTATGGTGCACTTGTGTGGGTTCATTCGAGCCTACATACGACTATATCCATGCCTTTCTATATAATTTTTCAACAAGATATCTACGCAAATGCGCCGCAAGCAACAAGATAAATACAAAATTTTCGGGGGCGTCTTGTTGGGCGCCTCTTTGTTTTTCCACCCATTTTATTTGGTTTCATTTCCCTTGCGAGATTTTCAGTTAAGAATTTACAGAGAGGGAAAATATGTTTCCTTAGTTGATGACTTTAATGCCTGTTAATGTCTGTTCTTTAAGCCAAAAATGTAATAGTTGCCAAAGCAAAACCTATCTGCTGTTTACATTTTTCCGAAATATTATACTTTAAAAGACGGCCAAATCAAATTCAACTTAATTTCTCACAGCGTACATCAGTGATGTGTGACGTCGGCGGCATTAACGAAATTACCACACGCACACAATGGGGCCAGAAGCTACATGCATTCGCACAGTGGGATGATTAATGATGATCGCCTTACCTGACGTCGCACATAGTCCACCAGTCCCTCCATGCAGGGCTCCATGCAGAAGGAGTGCTGGCATGGCAGCAGCTTGGGGATGCGGTATCTGTCCAGGCAGACGCAGCACGTCAGCAGCTGCTCAAATTGCTCCATGGCTCACTAACATGAAAAAGTATACAAAAAAAAAGAGGAAAACAAATGCAAAAAAGTCATTAGATATGATTCGATTATACCGCAAAAAGCTCTGTCAATTTGATATTCATATCATTATAAATTCAGGACTCCCCGGCCCAACCTAAGCTCATCATAAGACGACAGACCTTCTGTCAGGCGGTAAGCTTTACCGCAACCAAAATAAAAAAAATAAATAAATGAATGGAAAAAAAGCAGGAGAAATCCGATTGCCACGAAATTCTTGCATTCGAATGAACACACAACACAGGACTAAAAGCCAGACCCCAAAAGTCATACAATAAATTGACCATTTCGTTGTCGTAAGTCGCGAGCCGACTTCATTTGGCCCGGGTAAATACACTAAGCCACAAATCTGCTTATGGCTGCTTCATTAAAAGCGGCTCTGACAAGTTTATTTAGACGAACCCGGGATACTCAACAGTATCAGATGTTTTCCCTCCCACTTTTTGTCCTCATCAGCAAATGAAAACCCATGGAGAGCGAAGCTCTTTGATATGAGAATTCTGAAGGGTATGTGTGTATCCGATTTCGCTGCACTTGAATTTAAGTATTGTTTAAATGTTGAGTAAAAATTATACTAAATAATAAGAAGTAGATATAGTCAGTTCTTAGGGAAGTATTGTTTAAACTCAATCAAAACTAGCAACAAGATTTATCTAAGCAGCAATGATGCATTTCCTTTGGCTGCCAAAATGTATTTGCATTAAACGTTTCACTTTTGTGTCTTTTGCTATATCCATGACGTGGAACGAAAAATGTATACTATTTAATTCAACAGAAAAATAAAGAAAGTGTATCTCTAAGACATGTCTATTTTATTACGTTTTATGCCGTTGAATAAATAAAAGTCTGCATCGATTATTAGCTTAAACTGAATGTAGAAGAAGTCATAAAACCTTTTGGCTTAGATATGAGAATGTTTTAGAGACTTACAGATTATAAAGAAGATTTTTAGACTGACTAATAAATCCTTCAACGAAATAGGAAATACTTTTAACTGATTAAGAAATAGTCCGTAAAATAACTTCTTTAAAACGACCTCCAATAAACATCATGTTCTGCGAGTAAATTTCCCTCAAGCAATAAATCAGAAAAATAAATCAGCTTCCATTGCACAATTTCATAAGCTACTTGCAACATTTTCGGAACGCCCTGCAATATCTTTCTCACATTTGCCTTCCTTATGGAGGAAAAAAGGGAACATTGCTGGCCGCAGTTGAGATTTTAATAATAAAAATGACACACATTTCGTATTAAGAGGGAAGAAAAGCCAGGCAGCCGCCGTATATATGAAGTATAAATATAAATACGATTTCGCAGTTGCTGGCAATATGTGCATATCGCGTATACGCCGCGTGTGTCGCGTACAAAAACGCGAACCAATGCGCACTTCCTGCTCGTAAATAAACTGGGGAATGTGGGAGGATGTAGCCATGGAATTGGTACTCCATGTCCATGATGGCCACCGCTAATTGTCGTGCGCCTGTTTGCCATTATTGTCGTGTTTGGTTGGTCTGGTTTTCGGATATTTAAAGCATCAATTTAATGCGGCCAAAAGTTCACAATGATGCTATCGCAAAAAGTGGATATATGTATGAGCTTACCAGCATATGTGAACGCAGTGCAATTAACTGGAAAATGCGCTTAAAATCAAATTGAATAGAAATTGTGTCGCTCGCTCAAATTGTGCGTGGTGAATAAAGGCGAAAAGGGTGGTCTTTTTTAGGAAGTGGAGGTTCTTTTTCTGCCCTTTTTTTTGGTGGGGGGTTTTCAAGCGGAGTGCAGGGTGTGTGGCGAATCTAATTTAGCCGTTGCATTTGTGAATCGCTGCTGAAAGGATTAAAATGAATAGCAAAAGCTGCTAGCCAGCATAATGAAAGCCACCAGAAGCCGGCATAACCACCATCCCAGCCAAAACCCATCGCCCGCTTTTACATTTAGTTTAAATGGAAGGTCATTCAGCTGGGTCCATTGAAAGAAATCCCCAAAATGCTCGCATATATGTATGTCTTTATATGTACATATATATCCCTGAATGCATTCGCAGGCAGTGTGAGTAATTTTCGGAAATACCAAACCAATTATCCGTGAAAATGTTAAATGCTCTTGAAGCTGAAATCTGTGCTTTCTGGTTTTCCCTGAATTTTCGCACTGCTCTTTGTTTTCATTCAAATTGGCAGATTGACGGCGACAGTTGTTCAATGTTTTGTTTACAAAATAAGCTAAAGAAACGACGAGAAAATCATTAACCTTGAGGGGGTTAAAATTAAGTCGAGTTATGCGGCAGGAAACAGTAAATGGCCAACAGGAAACGGAAACACACTCACACACACACTTGACCCTCAGTAAGTTTGCTGTGCCAAAAAGTGAAAAACTGCAAAATGGGTCAAACTTTTCGCGCTGTTGACAGTTGGTGACAGAAAATCATCAACGCAAAGCACTGAAAATTGAAATCAACACAAATAAATTGAAATGAATTCGATGAAATTTGGGTCAGCCGCAGCAGAACAGAAATCCAAAAATACATAGGAACCCAACTCACCAATTGAAATGGGAAACTATTTGGCAATCCTTGCTGTTGCTGTCAAAGCGGCACTCGAAGGCAATCATAAAATGCAATTGGTTTTGGCAATGCGAGAATCCTTAAAACTCAATCGTTTCCAACTCGTTTTCGGGCACTTTCATTAAATGTGTACAATCGATTTCCGTTCGCCTTACTTTACTTTCTATATATCTAAATCGGTACGATTTCGGTTCAATTTTTTTTTGCCTAATTTTCTTATTTTTTCTTTCTTTCAATTTTTGCTGGGCAACGCGCCTTGTAGAATTCGATTGGAAATGTAAAAAGCGACTGAAGGCAAGTGAAAATTGCCAAGCACATGAGCAGTCTACAATATTTTAAATATATACAATCCGCGCCATACTCTCCCGATTTTGCTGTGTATCTGCAGATACATTATATTTGTATATATATATATATCGCCTGGCGAGAGAGGGAGAGAGAGAGAGTGAAACAAAACAAAATGCGCGATCGCAAGACGAACGCAAAAATATATTCTTGGCATGGTGCGTTTGTATCTGTATCTATATAGTATAGTTGCAGCCCATTAATGAGATACAAAGATACAAAAATGAGTACTTCGCACTGCATGTGCCTTCAAAATGGAGTTCTCATCTCTCGCATTTGGAACATCGGACATCATCAACTACTTATTGGCATATCCCAAGAAGATTTCTCTACATTTAGCCCAAATACATGCACACGCCACCTCTTGACGTCATCAACTGAGCTGATTTTCCCATTCGGACGCACGCCGGCATTTTCCATCTATATCTTATTGCTGGGCTATTTGTGTGCTTTTGTGTATCTCGCTGTAACGGGCCCTAAAAATAAATTTCATTGAAAATTGGAGCGAGCATCGCTCGAATTCGCTGTTCCGGCAAACTAGCCAAACATTACGCGGTACTAATTGAAAAGTTTCACTTCTATGAGGAGTTAGGCCATTGCTTTTTGGACGAGGAGTTTGTAGTACCATTGGTAGCAGATCTGTAGTTATATTAAGAGACTTCAATACTTAATAAATACTGGAAATTAATTACAAACAAACAAGCTTCATAGGCGTATAATTTTGAAATATTAAAATTATGAATAATTCGATCTTATGTAAAGATCTTGAATTAATACTCAATTTTTTATTATATCCTTCTATTATGTAAATATATAAAAAGGTTTCTGCTCCTAAAATATTCCCTAAAACTATCCAATTTCAGAGCTGCATTCCCTGTGCACTCTTCTCAAGGTCAGAACTCCGTTTCTCTCGGTTGGGTGTGCATATATATATATATATATATCTCCCTTGTGAGAATGTACTGAAATAGAAACTCACTAGCCGGAATTCACAGACTGTGCAGTCTGCACTCCTTGGCCAAAAAAAGAACTGCACAGTATTTTTGGGCTATAAATAAAGGGAGCAGACAGCCCAGCAGATGCAATCGAAACTTTTTGAAATTTCAGCAGCACTCCCAAAAGGAAAACTCTAAACTACAAAGTATTGTGGCGTTCCAATTTCAGCGGCGATTACTTACGTTTTTAGTGTTGCTGTTTTCTTTTATTTCTTTTGTTCTACTAAGATATCCGAGGCACCCTTGGAAGGGGCCCTTTCCTTTGGCTGTTAACTCTGCTGACTGAAAAATACGAAAAAAAAATATATATATTATTTAGAGGGTAAAGCGATTTTCAGTGCCAAATTCGATGATTAATCGATTGTGTTTTTGGCCATGGCTCGATACAGGAAACACAGCGAGATGAGAGAGCAAGAGACACCCTGGCGACACCAATTGAATCAGCCGCCATTTAATGATCAGATCGATTTCACTAAAATGCGTATAAAGGGTTGGTGAGGGCGAATTTACCTGGCCATTAACACGCTGCGCATAAGCCGCATGATGCCAACTTAATTATACGGCCTCAAAGGCTGTGGCAAGCAAAACAATGATGAAGGTGGGAGGTGGAATATGTCGGCTGTTTCTCAGTCAAAGATAATGAAGTTCGGAATGCGCTTAAGGTTCGCTTATTGTGCACAGCCACAGATAAGCCCCTTGGCTGCACACACTTGACCAGGTTAATGAATGACCAGGTGGGGGGTCAAACATATGGCAGCGAAAGTAGTTAATTTCAATTAACTCGCCCTGGCGATGGCGGAGTTCCTTTCAATTAAAGGAAACAATAAAACAATGGAAAACCAATTTCCGAAACTATAATGACACGATTACATCCGAACTTCTTTAGTGGAATCCACTGTTAATTTCCGACACGAGAAACCAATTTAAAAGAAAAAATTTGTTCATGACATTTGCATTTATTTTTGAAACAACAATTTGTACAAATGTCAGTTTTATGACGTTAATTAAATTACTTTGTAAAATGTCCCAAATTATACAGAACTGTATGCATTTAATATGGATATTAAATATTATTGTTCCAGACAATCTGTGTCCTTTTTGTATGACATCCAATGAAATTTTCAATTATAAAAAACATTGAATTTTATGCAATATTTTATTTGTTACTTTCAACTTTTTATTATTAAAATGTGTAGTTAAATGGTAATTGGTTCTTCTTAATTAAATCAAGAAGAAACACTATAGCCGATTGCTGCGACTATAAGATACCCGATACTGTTTTGCACACTTTTAAAATATTTAAAATATTCATATATTAGCGCCACCTATTGTCAGATAGAGCATGTTGATAGAGCATGATAGTGACGTCACTGCCCATGTGAGGCCTTATAACTTAAATTTCTTCGCAAATAGCGAAATAATGTTCCGATTTAAAAAATCTTAAATAAATCGATAGATATTGGCAAAAATATGTTATAAAAGTTTACAGGTCGCAGTTTGTGGGCTACCTGTTACATACTTTTCAACGAACCTATTATACCCTTTTTCTCTACGAGTAACGGGTATAAAAATACATATATTATTTTTTTAACGCTTTTCATTTTTGGGTTTATGTTGAAGGCTATCCATTTAATCTTTATAAGTTTAATAATTTTATTAAATTATATGGTTTAATGTTTAGACATTAATTTAAAGAAAAAGATATATTAACTTTATTGTAATTTTATGTAAAAGCAATTGAATAATTCCATAAATATCAGTTTAAATACAATGACGGGGAATAGTCTTTGACCGTAATGAAAACATAAATATCAATTTAATCTCGATGCTACCGGATACCCATTTTTCAAGCAGTTCCCAGTTTAAGTCATGAAAGTTGGTCTGTAAATTCAAGCAGCTAAATCAAAACTAGTTTAAGTAAGTATCTATTGCCAGCACACTGCAATGGCACTTCTTTAATGCAGCCAGCAACCTTGAACTTCCGCCAAGCTGAAGCACTTTTGAAAATATGGGTGTGAGCTGTTGGGTGGGTGGTGGAATGCACAAGGCATAAGGCAGAAAGAGATGAAAAGAGACTAGTTCTCGCAATAAGGCTAAAAGGAAAACTGGAAAAAACTGTTGCCTGCTTTCAGGCGGCTCGTAAATTTAAGCCCACACTACATACACTCTCACTTAATCTTCCGCATTATTTTTATTTTCATTTGTATATATTTCGAAACGAGAAATTAAATGTTTTGTGTGAGAGGTGTGAAAAAAGAAGAAAATGAAAATAAATACAAGAAAGCGAACCACAAACATTCCAAAAGGAAGGCGAAAGAGAGAGAGAAGGAACAAGCAAAACCGAAACCGAAACAAAAGCAAACAAAGCAATCAATGATAAGCGAGCAGCGGGCAAAAGACAAACACAAACAGCAAAAATGAAAATAGAAAATCTCTGAAAATGTCGCTGATTGAATCGAACTAAAAATAAGGCAGCAACACACGGCGTATGAGCAATGTGCGTCTTAGTGTGCGTTGTATTCGTGTGTTTGTTTGTGTGTGTGTGTTTGTGTGGGCAAAATTATTGCCATGCTTTTTGATGAGCTATGCACACATACTGCGATACATACACCTATATAACAGATCCTCATCTACATACATTTGTATACATGATTATGTCAAAATGTGTTAATAAATTTTGAACGCGAAGCTCAGAAGAAGATGAAAATAATTTTGACAGCCTTTCACGAATGTGGGCAAATTGTGGGCGTGTGCAGAGCGCGATGTTGGGAAAACGGAATTGTCAGCCAGGTGACATTTTCCCGAGCTCCTTCTCTCGCCGGATTCTCACGCCTTTCCTCTCGTTTTCTCGTTTTTCGTTTTTTTTTACATAATCAGCAACCATTGAATGCGTCGAGCTCATCTCCATTTGAATGCGTTTCCAAAAAACGGGTTTAAAATGAGGATGTATTCCCCATTCCCAATCCCATTTAAACTCACTTGCGTTGGTATCTCCTATTTGCCGATGGTTCGCGTAACTTTTGCAAATTTATTCGCATGCCTTGGCGGCAAAAAGGACTTTCACTGACTTCACTTTCAAACTGCTGTTCGATACGTAATTTCCTTGGATTAAACCGACACTCGCGACGCGTTTACTGGTGCTTTTGGCATAGATGTTGATTTTGCACCCTCACGCACTGTGCGACAGGTGAAAGATCTATGGAGAGATCCTCTCTCTATATATATTTATATTATATATAGGTGGATGGGAATCGAACTGGGCTATAGGTATTATCGGCGTATCGGTCCGCACGTCCACTCGCGAGCGTGCCAGAAATGAAAATGAATGTATTTCTCTGCCCGACTCTCGAACGCTTGATGATCAGCCGTTCTTGAGGTGAAATTTTATAAATATAACCTGAGGCAACAACAACAACAACAGCAACAACGAAAGTGCCACAAATATTTCTGTGCCTTCCCACTTTCACGTAGCACTTTTGTTGTTTCCCATCTTCACCCGACCCCAACGAACCTGTATATGAATTTATAACTTGTACATATATAATATATATACCATAATTGTTTATAAGAATTCGTTTTTTTTCTTTTTGCTATTTACAATGTCGCGCAGAAAGTCCAAGAGCGAATATACATTGTTAAAGACGTAGCTTTACCTGTTATTGTTCTGGCTTATTCCGCAGTTTCTTCATTACGATTTTCACTTTTCCTTAGTCCAGAACTAAGAAAACTCAAGGAAAAGATCACACTGCCCACGCATTTCTCTGGCCGAATGATTCATTTTAGAATTTTCTTAAATATTTATAGAGATAAAAGGCGTTTATTGATACGTATATAGGAAAAGGAAATTGATGTCTTAACAAATATGTAGCGAGTTTTATATGGTTATGGAATCAAGGCTAATTGGCAGTGGTAAATGATAATGAAGTGAAGGAAAATTTATTAACTAACAGTAGCAATTGTGTAATTAATATTAGTACATAATAAGATACCTCTTTTTGTTTCTGGTTTATATTTGTTTCTCCTAAGATTTGTCATCGAACTATTAATATTACTTTCCCGTTTATAAATAAATTAGGTAACAATCTGTACAGCGCGTGTTTCCATAGCTGGTAGATAATAGATTTTATTAATATATATTAGAACAGAACTACCCTTAATATTTTCCCCATTTAGTACCTACATGTTTTGCGTTCTATGAATAGAACCATAGCTCTCTGTCATCACTTTCAGTATAATTGGTCTGCATTTTGCCTATCCCGCCAGACACTTGGTCTTTTGTCTGGTCATTCGCTTGTTTCCTCTGACACTTTCTTGTCAATAGTCTGATGAATCGAGTTTGCCGTTAAGACATTTTCGGCCAAAAGAGCCCCAGCCGAAAACAAAGCCGCAGCCACATTCTCAGTCAAAACAAAAACAATCCCAAAAAATTGCGATTTATGAGCGGGCCAAAACAAAGATGTCAGCACATTCGCCAAGGCAGCTCAAGTTGTTGACGGACTCTAGGTCAGTCCCCATTAACATCGCCATCGGCTAGAGGATATAGCTCCTCTATAACACGTAGAAAAAAGATGACCATAATTAGTAAATGATTTTGTATATCAGGCATTAGGAATAATAGAAGAGATACTTTATTAAATATTTATAAAGGAAATAATAAGTAGTCATTAAACTGGGATTTATAAAATCTTGTGATCAACGACAAGCTTATTTTTATATTTCGATAATTTTACTTTAACAATTTAACAATCAAACATTTTTCCCTGTGCATCTTTCTCATTGCTGGATTTGTGCGCAGTTGATGCCTCTGGTGGAATTGGAAATGCGTATTGCCGGCATTGCATTGTGAACATTCTGAACATTGCAACAATGCTATCGAATCGGCGACAATTGTATCGCATAAGCCGAGAGCATTTCCACCGTTTCCATTAGCAGCAAGTCCGAAATATTGGCATCCATTCATTCCCTCCATATTTGAGAGCAACTCATTAGGCCCGAGCATGATTAATTAGAACTGATGGATGGCCAATTGACAGATGGCATAACGAACGAGCAAGGAGCCGCAAGGATACATTATTGATGGACATGCATGCAGGGTATCCGGATCTTAGAGCGAATGCCACTCGAAAAGGGGACACTTGGCATTGCCAGCCAGCACCCTCTGCTAATTGCCCAAGGATATAGAAGGCCAGCCAATACAGGAGCAACGTGGTAAAGTGGCAATAATAACGAATTAGCAAACAATTTCAAGTATTAGCCAAGCACAACTAACTAAGAGGGTGGCCACGAGAGTTGCTAGTTGATTGGAATTTCACAGGAAACTTTAATTGAAATATGCAAAGGGATTAGAGCGATGCAAATTGGCAGAGTCTAAGGGCTGTTAAACTAAGATGTTTTATTAAGTTTTATCAATAAAATAGGATATTCTCTGTTTGGAGTTAGGTTTAATTCAGTTTTCTCTAAGATCTGGAATATTGAAATTAAATTTTAAAACCGTACACCCTTCCTTTGTTCCTCCCTAGGCTGGGGCTTAACTGTTTTCCTTCATGCTCTTTTAAAATAATTTCCATTCTAGCCGTAGTTAGAGCTCCTTAGGGCTTCTAAAGCGTTATTTCCGGTTTTAGAAACTGTCTAAGCACACCTCCCCAACGGAATAACCAACAGCAGGGGGCCACCGAAAAGAAACTATTTCCAGTCAGACAAATGGCGTTAAGCACATAATAACCAATTTCTCTAAATACGGCCATAATTATGAACGCCTACACACACTTATACGCTCAAATAGGACCAACAAACACACACACACACGTGGGCAAAGGATCCTTGTGAAGTGCTGCTGCTGTTCTTGTTTTTGTTTTTGTTTCAACCTACTTCATTTGGCCGCGCTTGTTCCCGCGAACTAAGTTCGTCTCGAAAGAGAAAGTGAAAGCGGGCAAGAATGCGGGGTTCGAGGGTGTTGATGAAAGTTGGTAAGTGGGAGCGGGCAAGGGCAAGGATTTATCGTAATTAGGCATGCATGAGCATATGCTGTCGTCTAAGCTCAAGGATGGCTCTCATCCCGTTTTTTCTCTGCACTGGCAGAAATGAGGGATAAACAAATCGTACTTTTAGTCCTGGCATCAAACAAATTTTGAAAGTGTGCCTAAAACTATGCAACAGTTATTCGGATAAATATTTTCTATTTTTCTTGTTCATTCTTAGACTTCTGGCAAGCATTTTAAATAAATAAAAAAACTTTATTTCATTAATAAATCAAAGGTACTTTTTGTTTTTATGAGGATTAATAGATAATAATTATGCAATCTTTAACAATAAAAACTAATAAATCACATGAACCCATTTTTGATGTACACGATGCACTGTTAGTAATGTATTACTTACCATTACCATTATAATGGCTTAAATAAATTTTTAAAATTAATAAGTCTCATATGTGCTTATTATTTTTGTCAGAATTTACTAACCATTTTCCCTCTGTGTGAGCAAACACAGACTTTGGCAAACAGCAAAGAAAGTGGGTAAGTTTATGGAAGGGGCGATGATGGGAAAAAGGGGCTCCAATGTACATAATTAATTGTGCTGCTGTGTTGGCAAACACGCGGGCGCCGGAAAGTAGGCAACACGCTTTTTTTGGCAAAACGGTTCGCCGTAATTGATTGCCTCATGCACGTCACACAAGTAAAAGCGAAGCCAAAGCGGTGTGTCAATGCGTGAGTGTAGCTGTGTATGTGTATGAGTGTGTGTGGGCGTGTAATTTCTGTTGGAGCTACAAGTATTTTGAAATGAATATTTCTTTAATTAGTTCGCTACTGGCAAAGCTATTTGCTGCGGCCTCCAAAGGGGTTTGGATATGCTAAAAGGCCAAGCCGCAAAAGACTTGACCGCAAATAATAATGCACAAATGTTGCCACACCGCAAGTGTTTCCAGGCAACAAACATACGCACACTCACGCACACTCGCACATGGCAGGGTCTGAATATTTTCTTAAATTAACATTAGCAACATTTGGAACTGCCATTAAGACGGTCGCCCAGCAGCCATTTCAAGTCTCTCGCAAGTCATTTCTGAAAGGTCATCCCGCAAGTACAGTCAAGCTTAAATGAGTTGAAGTTTGAAGATATTAATATTAATATATTATATATAATTATTAAAAAATAAAACTGCCAAATACATATTATTAAAGATCATTTATAATTTAAAATCCCTTCCAAAAAAAAAACTAAGCTACTATACAAAACTAGTAATTTAAGTATTTTATAAGGATAACAGCACTTAAATTTCTTAAGAATTATTCAAGTATATAACAAATAGCAAGTACCAGTATACACTTTAGAGGTCCAACTTTATGGCCTATAGGCTTGGCCAACTTCGTTCGGTGGGCAAAAACAGTTAAGCGTAAACATTGTCGTGGGCCATGTTTAGTTTGGCTTCTTTAAATTATGGCTGCGAGCCTAAGCAAACTAAAGGCAACTTCTGCCCGAGGGCAGGAGTATTATTACCTGGCGCCAGTCAAATTAGCAGGAGCATAAAAAATTACGTATACGTAGTGTAGACCCTTTGGACTGTCGCACGTGTTCATAACCCGTTTGTGGCTGCTCCTGCTGCTGTTGCCAAAACAAAACGTCAAATGTTTGTATAATGGCGAACATTAACATTTAACCTTGAAGGCACAAATTACCGGATTCTTGTCACCTTCGCACGCACCAGGGATCCAAAACCATAGGAAAAAAAGAGGAGCGGAGCAGAGCTGAACGTCAAGAAGGAAAGTTTGTTGTCCGCAACTTTTTACCTCAGCAGGCGGTCCGCGTTGGCAGACCCATAAAAAATCCTGCGGAGAGGCATCAACAGCTACGGAACATATGCGCCATCGTCCCCACTTCGATGATGATAAGAGTGTGCGGCATCGTGGCATTCCGGCATCTTGCCATCCCAGAATCCAGCATCCAGGCATCCTTGTATCCTGACTGCCGCCGCAGCAGCAACAACAGCAGCATGACGTCGGCCTCGCCGTCTTGTGATAAATAGCTTGATTTTAAGCGAAAGGCGCGGGAGTAGATTTATGACACACGCATTTTACCCCAGCAAGAAAGTGGAAAGTCAGCTCCGGTGGAAAAGCAGTGGCAGCGGAAAGGAATGGAAAAAAAACGAATATCGAATGTCACGCAACAGGCCAACACAAAGTAAAGTATCGGAAAATCGCCCATTTAAAGGATATTAATATTTATTCCAGCCTGAGTGTTATGTTGACTTAAAGTCATATTTTTTTGAGGTTTCACGGAAGCTCAAAAAGTTAAAACCATAAAATAAAAAACTGCATTTTCTCTGAAATGCATATCCACTTTTACCATTCAATTTCAAATTGTAATTAAAAACATTCCTTTAAGCATCATGATTCCGTGAACTCTGATTTATGAAATACTGTTGAAGGTAAACAAAAACTTTCACAAAGTCATGGGTATTTAAACTCCAATAAAGCAACACTATTTCTGGATTATCATCTGAGTAGATATATACATTTTCAATATTCATAAAAAGACTTAAGCGCCAGATCAAGTAACTATACCTATTAAAGTGCAGTAAAAGACTTTAAAACACATCATGCAAGCGCTTAATTTATTTAGCCAATTAGGTTAAAAGCTCATCTGAATGCTGCTCTCAATAAATTAAATTTATTTCAGCTTTTTCCCGTCCAACTTGAATGCCAACTTAAATGAGAAATGAGGAAATAAAAAGCGAGATTGCAAACTTATTTAAGTGCTGTATCATAGCCAAATATGCAAAGTGTACATGTTTATTGAAAAGTGATGACTGTTTTATGGCTTTTCCACTTCAAATCGATTACGTAATCAAGGAGTCTCTCTGCTTAAGAGTTAAGCTGCGACAATTGTGCAAAAATTGAGTTGATTCTGGCGAATCCGTGAGAAGTTTTTGATTGAACGTTTAAAGAAAGGACCGCGATTAGGTTTCGTGTTTGCGTCCGGATTCGATTTCCAATCGCGTCGCGGTAGCCATGGTATTCCTGGCAATTTCCTAAACATTGCCAGCCGTCGAAGGAGTCTCCTAAGGAGCTTACACCATCACACACACACACACGCCCACAACTTTTCCACGCTGGCGAAGCAACCTCAACAATTTCAACATCCGGCTTCCGCTGCAATGTAATGGAAACTCGACGCGAAGCCGTGCCTCCATGCTGTGCCAACATATTAAAGTTGGCAAATGCCGAAAGGGGAAAACAGCAAAATGAATTGAGGGAAAAATATGGTAAAATTTATCAATAATAGTTTATAAAAATATACAATTCAATATATATAGATATATATTTATAGACATATATATATATATAATATAATATTTATAATTATTCCAGAGGAAAGAAATATTTAAATCCTTATAATTTTTTGTTTTTCAAATACTTTTAAAAATAATCAACGTAACAAATTAATGAAAATATTAAGTAATCTATTTTCTCTCAGTGCAGAATCGGAATCCTTGAAAGGAACGACTTTATACTGGAAACTCAGAAAATGTCGGGTGCGGAAATCTAAGGCAAGAATAAGACAAGAATGAAACCGAAAGTGACACATTGCAGCGGGAAGTCGAGCGGGACGATGAGCCGATTGTCGAAGGTTTCTTTTGGGGTTTGGAAAGCCGATGATCTCGCCAGGGGGGGGAGGGGTGTTGGGGTGACAGGTGGCCGGAGGATGCCCATAAATCAAGACCTGGCCCAAAACATTCGACCTAAATGCGAACTCATAACTCCCGCACCGCATATAATTCAGCGGCGGCCTTGATTAATTGCTCTTCGCGGCGAATGTGGAAATTATTTTAATTTTCCAACGCCACGCGCATAATTTGAGATAAACTCAACAGCGAAATTTACTCGTAACCGAACACTTATGCGATGATAATTCGTTAGGGTCCCGGAAAATCTCGGCCCTTGTATATCTATAAATTGCTGTGCTGAATATTTTATGCAGATCGAGCAAGTCATTTTCATGAAATGCACATTAAAGATCCTTGGTTTGGCGCCTTCGAGGCAGCGGTGCGTATGCGTGATATCTGAAACGTTTAATTTAAGTCGGCGGCGTAATTTGCAACTCAAACTTAAATCCAGGCTGGCAAACTACTTTTAGATCAGGCAACACCGCAGCCTGACAATTGCCACCCTGCCCCATTTTAACATCTTGAAATGCAGTGCAAACTGACAGAAAGTTTTGAATCGTCTCGCTTATATTCTTTGGCTGTCTTTCTCAAAAAAAGAAAGAGAAAAAAGAATGAAAGAAACGGAGCTGGCGAAATGGGCGGGCTTTGGGCCAAGTCAGCAAGTCAAATAAAAAGTTTTTCGTCAACATTACGCAAATTAGTTTGTCAGTCGAGCCAAGCAAATGCAGCCGACAAAACCCTAATGACATTTAGACTAAGGGATAACTTTTCCGAAAGCCAAGCCGAGATCTTGGCGGTGATGGAGTCCTTTAGACAGCTTCAAGATGCAGTTTTTATCTTCAGTTGGCTTCGCCTGATGGTTCAAGTTATTTTTATCCTGGTCATTATGATTCGATTTGATTTTTAATCTTAATGTTGTTTGGTAAATGTAATAATCTAAGTTTAAATTGTAATTTTAGTTGAAACTTTTATTTTGTTATGTTTCTATAGCTTTAAGGAGGAATTGAACAAGTTTAAATTGTTTTCTTAACTTCCTATCTCTCAGGAAAACTATTTTTCTTAAAGGTTCTCTCTTCTCTCCAAAACGTTTTCCTTTATAAACTTGATTACGTGAAAAATCAAGTAAATTTATGAATATTAAAAAAGGTCAATTGGATAAAATTCTTTACCGACGTCATGATGCACCTTTCATCTTCAGTTAGGTTGCTTAATGTGCCATGTTTATACCCCCTGTCAATTATGATGATTCGATTCGATTTCAGAGGACCTCATTCGATATGCATTAATGCTCCTTTGTGCCGACGGAATCATAAAATCAAATATGCATTGAATTACCGTGCAGGCAGGACAATTATATTATACCTTTTGCCAAAATAAAAAAAATAAAACGAAGGAAAGGACAAGCCGCACCGAAAAAAAGGAATATTTAACTCAATTTTCTGGCCGTGAATTTGGTACCACAAGCAGCTGAGGCACCCGCACCCGAAAATCCCACAACTCCTGAAACTCCATTGCCATTCCTCCAGTTAAAACCCTAAATCGGCCGCATTTTTCACTCAACATTTTTTGTGTATTATTTCGTTTTATATATATTTTAGCTCGTTTATGCGCAAAAGTGCGTGTAATTCAATTTTTCATGCGCCATGTGACAAGGGATGTGGGTGGGGGTCGGTTGCTACCTTTTCTGCCGAAATTAAGACAAAGGGGAAATATGCGCTAAAGGCATATTTGGCACGCAATTTTCCACGGCATGTCCGAATTGATGGGCCATCCCTTTTTTCACAGTTACCCAATACCGTTATCGTTATCAATTTTTAATGCCTTTTGAACCTTTTTATTCGTGCTGTTTCTGAGATAGCATTAACAGAGACCTCGGCGCACTAGATTGTATTATACTTAAGTTTTAAAATGTTGCGAAAGGACATTGTAATTAGGAAATTATCCTAGCGTGGGTTTGTCGGGCGTCGACGGCGTACACGCCCAACCGAAATAGCACGTCTCTGCATCGCAGCGGAGTTGGCGGCGGGAGCACCAGCAACTGGTGGTGGTGGATTCATCAAGCTGGATCCTGATCCTGGTGCTGTTCCTGTTCCTGTCCCTGATCCGGTCCCGTTGGGATTGCGTATCAAACGGTTATTGGGATTACGCGGCGCGCGACCTCCCTGCACGGCACCTTCAAACATACTGCGCTCGATCGCCACCTCTAATTGCAGATCCTCAACGGGTAATACAATTGGTGGACGGTTTCCTGAGGATGAAGCCTGCTGTTGTCCTGGTTGCGAAGGCTGTTGCTGATCTTGCTGAGCCGGCTGCGGTTGGTTGCTTTGTGCCACTGGTTGCGATTGAGTACGCCGATTCGCCTGAGCCTGCTGCTGGCTAGGAGGTCTTATCACCACACTTTGGATTATGGGTCCTGTCACTTCACCATCCAACTCCCCAAGGCATGGGCAATTGAATCGCGACCTCATTAGTTCATCTAGCTCATAGTAATCTTCATCTTCCATGGCCAAATTCGTTTCAAAGCCACCGCAATCATCGTGATTGATGCGTCGTGAAAACTCTACAAAGCTGTGAAGATGTGGAGACAAAACATTACGATCCCTTTCGATAGCAGTAGTATCAGGTCCAAAATTTTCGTCCATCAAAGCTCTGTACTGAGTGTTACACTCGTAGGATATTAGATCATCGTACGGAGATCGCGCAAAGTTGATCAGTTCGTAGAGAAAGTGATCGTATTCGGGGCCAATATAGGTCTCCAAAGTATAGCTAAATTCATAACTTTTCATACTAAATTGTGGAAGCAAACTCAAAATGGACTCGTACACAAAGTAAAGATCCGACTTGCCGGACTTGACGAGCACCGAAATATCCCGATTTACCCAGTCCATAATCCTATGCATTTCGTAGGGATTGCGACTGTAAAAAGGCAGAGGAAGTCGCCAATAATGAATATCTTGATTTTAAAGCCAAACTCACCGAAAATATTCTGGCGACCACTCGCGAAAGTCGGGCATCTCTGGATCCGGGAGGGAATATAGTGAATTGGCGTAGACGTAGACCCGCCAGTTGATCATCTGCCTAGGCATCTTCATTATCCAATTAATATTAAATATGTACAACTTCTAAAATCAAGAAAATGAAGTTTTCTGTGATGGAGAAAATTTCTAGAGCTGTCAATCACAAGTTTGGTTTTACCGTTTCTGTTAGTCTTGTCACTCACACACTGGTATTTTTCCAGTATTATTTTGTTTGGCAAAACTAAACAAATAGTTTTTTAAATATACAATTTGCTGAAGTGGAAATATGAAACGCACTGTACGGGGAACTTTTGTTTACCTCGCAAACGCAAATGAATTATTGGCGCCCAGCGCTACACACATACATATGTTTAGACTAGGGCATATCTACACGATGAGATTTGGAGTTTCTGGTGGCTTAAGCGCAATGCATGTGTATTCTTCAAAAAACAAAAGAAAATTTTTAAAAATAGAATCATTAAAAGTCATTTTATTAGTCTTTGTAAAAAATATTTTAACACAAAATAGTGTTGGAAAATTAATGTGCAGCAAATGAAACAAACTTTTTAGTTAAAGCAATAGGGCTATTCACTCATATTAACTGTCCTTTAAATGTTTTTTCAAAATAACTAATAATTTGCAAGATAAAATATATGTATTATGAATCCCAAAGATCACAAAAACGATGACAACGATTAGGAACACAAAACCCATACATTTTTTAATTCCACTTAAAATAATAAAATCCAACTGCTTTACATTTAATCTTTACATTTATTATGTATTTGATTCGTATTATATATTTTTTGTTCTTCGTATGCTGAGTACACTAAAATTCATAACTGGCCACGCCCATTTATGCAAAAAACATTAACACTCTCGCCATACATTTATCAGAGTTAGTACTATGATTTATAAGCTAAGAACAGTAAATTTAGTTGCCATTGTTTATAGTTAGCATATGTAGGCCGTGGTTAACTTAACGGAATACATTTACAACCGATGTGGGGATAGGAAGATAGGAAGGGTCTGATCTGGGATATCGAATGAATTTTTGGGGTGGGCTATATGAGGGAACATTTAAATAATGTTACAATTAATAGATGTGTAAATGTAACTATATGTATTTTAAGATATTGGTGAATATGTACAACTTAAAATGGCAATCCTAGGCCTAAAATACACCTATTTTGAGCTTACGCTAACTGGTATTAGTTACTTACATAGCAAGCTACATTTATTATTACTTTTTGGGTTCAGGGGTTTTAGGAATCGGAACAATACAAGACGGAAACCAGTTAATCATTCCATTAAATAAACAACTTAAATGAAAATTAAAGTCTGTAGCTTATGCTAAAAACGACGGCTCCCGATCCTCTTCATCATCGTTGTTGTCGCTATCATCCTCATCCTCTTCTTCCTCCTCTGCTCTCCTTTCCTGTTCATCTTCACCATCATCGATATCGTCTTCTTCCTCTTCATCTTGCTCTTCAGTGGCAGTGGCTGTATCCTCTGCAGTTTCCACCTCGGCTTCTCCAACCACGTCGATTGCAGCCTCCCAGGAATAGTTATTCCGTTCATTGATTGCCTCTGGATCCTCATCTGCGTCGGAAAAGAGATGTACATCGTCGCCAACATCTTCCTGAGCTTGCGAGCTGTCGGGCACAGAGTTCTGCAGCAAGTTGAGGGCGATATCCAGCTCTCTAGATCGATCGCTCATCATTTCGATCGCCATTCGATGGTTTAGCGTAGAGAGTTCAATTAGGGAGTTAGCTATGTCATGCTCCTCGACGTTGTCACGTATCAAGGGATCGCCGGAATAGCCTGCAGCCCTCCAGCCGAACGAACTCAAAGGAACGGAACTTGATGTAGCTGATGAACTGCTGGCCAAACTGGCGCTCTGGTTGGATTGATTGCTGTTGCTACAACTACGCCGCCGCTTTGGGACACTACGTCCTGGTTCTGGGTCCTCTGTTAGCGCTGGAGCTGCCTCAGCGTTATGAGGCGCCTCCTGTTGCTGTTCCCTTTCTTCGTCGTCTTCGGGCATTTGTAGCTCTAGTTTAAGGGGTTTCCTATCCTCTAAAGATGCCTCCGCTTTTAGAGTGGCCCGCAAAGCGCTAAGCTGTAGGTTCTCTGTGCTATCATCGTCAGAATCATCACTGCTGGTATTGTTGTTATTTTTGTTGGGTTGACCTAGACGAAAATATAAGACATTTAATAGATTAGAATTAAATCTTTTTGAGTTTTATAGAATTGGAAATTTTGGGCGAACTTGGTGATAAGACCATACATTTAAATACCACTTACCAGATGTATCGCTGCTACCGCCGGCTGATTCGTCATCGGACGAACTAGAGCTGTCACTGCTTTCCGGTTTCTGTGCGATTTTCTGTTGTTCCGCTTGACTCTCAATCTCCAGGGCTACCCGTTCGCTCACATTCTGACCTGAATTTGAAGCCTGTCGTTTCCGTTTGCGAGATGTTCTTTTCCTATTTAAAGCTTTTCCAGAACGTTTTTTCTTTGCAGGCGGCTTGCTTTTTTTCTTGACTGGCTCAGGAATTGTTGAACTACTGCTATCATCGCTGCTGCTGCTGAAGAAGGGAGAGCTTAAGTGGAAGGAGGAGCTGCTGCAGCTGCTATTACTGCTGCCACTGGCACTGCGGGCTGGGACGGAGGACCGCTGGCGCGATCTCTTCGAGCGTGTTGAGCGCGATGTGCGGAACTGATCAAGGCGACGTGCCTCCGCCACCACCAATTTCCAGTTCTTGCCCCTGCTGGCTGCTGCGCTTGTGCTGGGGCCCATGAACAAGCCCTGATCTCTAGTGGCCTGATCACCTGGCGTTTCTACCGCCTGATCCCCAAGACTTTCAGCAGGAGGAGCTCCATTTTCCTCATTTACGAAAACGACATCAGAGTCACTATTCGAGTCAAGGCTAACCTGTTCGGGAGTACGCAGGTGTGGTGGCTTTAGCTCTAACACGAAGACACACTCATCTTCGTCGCCAGAGCTACTACTGGTCTGCAGCTCGATGTGGGCACTCACTGGGAGTGTGGCGCCTGCGTGCCTCCTGCTAGGATTGCTACCGTCGTTTATGGCTGCCACCTCTGCATTAGCGGCTGCATCTCCATCGTCGATCTCTATGACCTCCGCATCCTCGCTGGCAACCGCCGCTGGACGCCTCATGCTCAGATTGATCGCCACTGTTTGGGAGCCTACATTGGATGTGGTTGTGCGTCGTATGGATATGCCAGGGAGCTCACTACCATCGCTGGCCATAGTCACGCTGAAGGAATGTGTGGCACCGGGATTAGTAACAATCACACTGGTCGACGGTCGACCGCTTGAAGGACTCCAGTCGTTGGAGAATTCCGCATAAGCATCTCCATCGCTATCACCGACCTCCAAATGTAGATCATCACCGTTCGACGACTGGGTCTCTACCATGTCTAGCAGATCTACCTCCACCTCCTCCGCAACGCGTGCAGAGTATTGAACCACATGGTCGTAGCCGATCATGTCGAAGGGAGAGCGGGCGAAGTTAAACAGTTCATGGATAAAGTGACTGGTGCGCTCGCCCAAAAAAGGCGACAGCCGGCGACGGAATGTAGGACCTAGTATATTGGTCATAGGCAGGATGTCGTGCATCAACTGCATCACAGTGCTAACGCTATGTGCGGCATTCCTTAACAGGCACACAATGTCGCGATGTATCCAAGGCATCAATCGATGCATCTGGGCGGGATTGTTTCTAAAATTTAAATAGAATTAGTATGCAATGGGTACAAAATATATAAATACGCACCTGTAAAATCGAGCACTCCACTCGCGAAAGTGTCCCGTCAAGCTATCGCTGACTGGCAAGGCATACAACTTTCTGTCATACACATAGCGCCGCCATAGCTGGCTTAAAGAGGTCGACGTGGTCGCATCCTGGTCGTGCCGGTAGTAGTTCATCAACTCCATGCGGTACGGCTCGAAGCGGTTGAACGAGTGTCTACCGGCTGCTACTTCGGCAGCTGGCAATACATCTTCTCCGGCAGCTACTGCTGCTATACCGGCCTCTATGTCGTTGGTCATAACGGCCTGGTTTTGCACAAGAGGCATAAACCTGGGACGCCGAACTATGTGGAAACGCAGAGAGGGATGTTCCGGCGGTACAGGCGATGAGCTCTGTACTGGATAGCGATCGTAGTCATCCAGGGTTCTGACATTGTGTATAATGGTTTTGAAGGGCTGCTTGCACAGCGGGCACTCGGGTTTGATCTGTTATGAAAGTAAACAGCTTTGGAGGAATCATTTCAGATAGTTTATCCTGCAGGTTACTCACCTTACTCCATTCGCACAGGCACTTAAAGCAGAACTGATGCATACACGAGTCCGTGAAGCACTTCTTCTTGCAGCGGGACAAGCAGATCGCGCAATTGGGCGGTGGTGAGGCGCGTTCTGCTGCATTATTCTCTTCTGTGGCTGAGGCACTGGTCCCCGGTTCACCGCTGGCGCTAATGTTGTTTTCCGGCCCTGTGACAACTAGCTCCTCAGCTTCATTGTCTCCGGATTCGCTGCCGCTTTCTGTAAGATCTGCAAACTTCATGGCCGCAGCCGGAAGAGTGTGGGTCCCGACATTGGATCCTACGGATCCCGGCTCGACGATCACAGAAGCACCCACATCTTCCGCTCCCGAATTAGGCACATCTCCGGCATTTCCCCCCGGGTTCTCTTCTGCCATATCGGTGACTATATAGCAGCTATATAGACAGCAAAATCGGCCGGAAAATGGGCGAGAGCTCCGCTCGGAGTTTTGTGTCTACTCTGGCCTCCTCTCTCTCTTTCTCTCCCTGGTCCTCTCGCCCTCTCTCACTCGCTCTCGCTGGCACGCTATTCTATCATCTGGTTAGCAATTCGAGTCTCATGCGTCGTTTTCTAATGGCCATTCACGGGCCCTTGGCCACATTATCAGTATTCCCTTCCGATCTATATGGTAGACAGGGGTTTTTGGCTTGGCACAGAACTGTTTTCAGACCAGAAATCGCACTTTAACTAGGATATTTTAACACCTAAAAATGCAGGAAACTCGATTTTTTGTGCACTACGATGTGACCGTTCCTCGCGTGCCACAAAATGCTGAAGACCACGGGCGTCCGACTTATTTTTTTGTACTTTAAAATATTTGTAATTTCGAAAATGAGTAAAAACTTTCTTAAAACAGCAATTCAACTGTTCAATTCTTTTTATTACTTTTATTGGCTAAATTTCTTGATAGAAAAATATTATTATTTCTTTATATTTCTCTGTGAATTGTTGGTTGATAGAAGTGATGAGATATATTGCTTTGCATATATGTCTGTAAAAATTGTTTAACATATAGAGTACGTAATTTTTTTCCTTTCACAGTACAAAACTTTTTATATAAGTTTATAAGAATTCTACTGAAGATAAATAACTAGAATTTAGTTTCTTATTTTTTTAATCAAAAACTTTTTTTCATATAATGCACTTTTTTTAAAGGGACACTGTAGTGCCTTTTTTAGATTTAACTGGTAAATGAAATAATATATTACATAATTATCCAATTATTGCTATTTTCCTTTGTAAAATAGCAAAAAATCTTACAAATATATATTTAAATGAATACTGATAATAAATATAATAGGTTTCACAATTTCGTGAAATAACATTATGTTTTTAGACGATAAATAAAAATGTTTCTAGGTTGTTCCTTTCCAAACTATTATTTTGATATTTTTTATGCTCAACCAATATTTTGGTATTTAATTTTGCCTAGCCACTCGGCTGCACTGCTTGTGTTATCGATAGTTCTTCGTTCATTGCCTTCTTCTGGCGTCGGTTTCAATTTGCTTGTTTTTAATTGTTGGATTAAATCCGTGTCAAAATGAATCGCCGCAATAAACGTACATCCTATTACCAATACGAAGTATATCTGGACTTCATGGAAAGCAATCCCCTACTGTCAGCCAACAAATTGAATCGAACTCAGGATGGCAAAAAATGGAAGGAGCTAAGCGATCGCCTGAACCATTGCACCTCGGGCCCTACCTTGTCTCCAGAGGAATGGCGTAAGGTAGGTGCACTAGGATAGTTAACCTATGTAACAACAATTAACTGAGCAACCTTTCTCAGCGTCTCAATGACTGGAAGAATACCACACGCTGCAAGTACCGACGCAACGTTGTTTCGGATGATAAAAAAAATTCTATGACTCCCCTGGAAGAAAGAGCTCTGCTAATTTTCTCCTCTGAGCCAATATACCGAGAGGTTCCCACGCTTTCACGTTTCCAACAACTTGTCGAAGAGCACGTGGAGCAGGAAGATCAAGATGATGAGGAAGGCGATGAGGAAGAGGAGGAGGAACAGGAACAGTATCAGGAATATGTCAAACCACAGGAACCTGCGAATCGGACGGTAATCAATGGTCATAGGACCGGCAAACGGATAAGGCTGGAAGGTGCTGGGGAGATCTTCTACGAAGGTGTGTACTAGACCAAAACTAGGGGAACTTGAACACAACTCATATATCTTATTTCAGTAACAAGTCTCACATCGCCAATACAACCCGCCTTAAAGGAACCAGCTAGTTATGGAAAGAAAATCGAGGAGCAGTTGAAACGCATATCGGACATTCATGAAGCATCCTTGCATTTCAAGATAGCCCGCTTCAAGTACAATAATCCCGGATTCGACTATGTCCCGGAATTATAGCTTATATGCAATCATGTACATTATAGTTTGTAAGCATTGAGGGACCTGTAAATTCTGTTATGAATGAATTGGACTGTTTCTATCAGTTGAAAATAGTTTTTATAACACTGAAATAATGGTCATTATTAGGGTTATTGTTGAGAAATATCATTTGACAAAATAAACACATTTTTCATTAATTTATGAACTTAAAAAAGTGACTTTTAATAATAAAGTATCAAGAGTTCCTTAAAATGTTTATGTTTCTTGATGCAAAATGGTTATCTTGGCAGGAATAGTAAAGTGAGACACTTCGTTATCAGCCTGCGAAGTTGAATTCATTTTTTTCTTGAATATTTTTTTAAATATTGATATTATTAAAATAAATAAAACTAAGACCACATAATAAGAAATCTATTTAAAAGGGCGATTTATATTTAGAAGCAAGCATAAATTACTATAAGCTATATATAATGTATGCATTGGTGGTTACAGTCAATTAGATAATAAAATAAAATAGATAATAGATAATTTTATATAAAAACTAGCTAGAACTATCGCCTAACTGCATAAGCTATCGGTTCCCGTTAGTTGCGCAACACTGACGTGTTAAGTACACCCCTGCGTTGCAGCTAACATGCACTAGAAAATCCATAACGCCTTCGCCAGCAATTGTTTGTGAACACTTCTCTTCGTTTTGGTGGCGTCGATTTGCATTTTAGCGCTTTTGACAACGATTTTAGCCAGGAAAGTAGGAACCAAACACACAGAGAGCACACCGGATGAACGGCAAGATGGATCGGCGCAAGAAACGCACCTCCTCGGAGCAATACCAGATGTACATCGACATGATGGAGAGCGACCCAATTTTTGCAACTGGACGAGTGCCGCGCGATTACGACCTGAACTATTTGACCAAAAAGTGGAAGGAACTCTCCGACCGACTAAATAAGTGCGGTTCCGGACCCACACTCACGCCGGAGGAGTGGCGCAAGGTGGGCAGAGATCGCAACACATCATATATACACACGTACAGTTCTTCTAATGTCTAATCCCTTCTTCTGAAACTAGCGCCTAAATGACTGGAAGAACACCACACGCTGCAAGTACAGACGTAGTCTGCTTTCCACAGAGAAAGACATATCGATGACCCCCGTGGAGACCCGCGCTCTGGATCTCTTCGGCAAGGTGCCCACCACCACCGGCGAAACGCTGTTAAATCTAAAATCTGAAAAGGATGATCATGATGACGAAATGGAAGATCTCGGCCAGCGTACTTCGGCAGCATTTCAAAAGGAACTACAGGCCGCCGTGGAAGAGGCCATCAACGATGAGGTCGACGACGAAGAGATGGTGGAGGAGCATGTCGATCACGAGGATATGCTGGACGAGAATCTGACGGATGCCGGCATAACTGCGTCCACAACAGCAGTCAATACAGGCGGCGGTACTTATCGCACTATCGTCGTCGATAACACATCCTTTGAGCATGTCGAGGAGGAACCGCAAACAGTTCAGCCGCACACAATGGAGTATGTCACCACCCGCAGGCCAGCTGCCGCTGTTATTAATCCAGGAACAGCTTCCTCTGGCAATAAGCTGATTAATGGCGAGCTGCCTGTTAAGCGAATGCGCACACAACCTCGGGAGCAAATTATCTACGAAGGTAAGTGTTCCCTTTTGGATAGAAATTACGATTTACAAAAACATTTGCTTGGTTTTCTGACCAAATGTCCATACAACCTCAACATTAACATATATTGCATTAATTGCTTCTGAAACACTTGATTTTAAGAACTATAGAAAACGACTCATAGATCCTTAGAGTTCTTTAAAATCTTCTTTTAATGTTCCAATAAAAAAAAATCAGAAACAATTCTTTTAAAAGATCCAAAGAAACGATTTACTTTCAGACTTAAACTGAGATACGAGGTGTGTTCAAAAAGTAAGGTGACTCTTCAAATTTCGCGAATTTCAAATTTTTCGATTATCGAAACCTTTTAGAAGTTATACGAGTTGTGTTCAAAAAGTAAGGTGACTTTTCAAATTTCAAATTTTTCAAATTTTTCGATTATCTTCAGTTTTGGGAACAAGAAAAAGTCACATGGGGCCAAATCCGGTGAATATGGTGGCTGAGGCATTATTGTGGTGTTGTTTTTGGCCAAAAAATCCAAATCCTTTGATCCATATTTTTCGATAGCAAAAAATCGCCGAGCTCGCAAAATAACTTGTAACTTTACGCCTCTCACAACCAAACAAAAGAGGATGTTCCATTGAAACTTGGTACAGATGTTAGGGAAGAGTGTACCAATATAACAAAACAAAAAAATCGATAATCGAAAAATTTGAAATTCGCGAAATTTGAAGAGTCACCTTACTTTTTGAACACACCTCGTACAGTGTAAAATGAAATTTACTATATTATGAAATTCTGTGTTTATCATATTCGACTTTTTTTGCCGACATACTAATGTAATTTCCCCTCCACAATTTCAGTTAAAAATGCGCCGCGGTGTATTTCGAATATGCAGGCCGTGCCGCCACTGCACAGTACAAAGCTGGACCGTGAGCCCAGCTCGCTGACTACTGCATTGAGTAGCAGCGACGCACAGCAGATCGCCCATCAGCTGAAGCGTCTGGCGGACATAAACTACGAGACACTGCAGTTTGAGATTGCGCGCTTTAAGTTCAACAACCCGGGCTTCCAATACGAGCCGTCCTTATAGTGGTCCAAGCAACAGGACGAGATCAGTGGGTCTAAGCAATCAGAAAAAACTCCAGCACCAGCAGAAGCGACGACGAAAGGATCAGTACTGGTAAAAGCAGTTGAACGAGGCAAGTCAGCTCGCATTGTATAGTTCTATAAATGCTATTAAATGCTTTTCGGCATTCGAACGGTTTTTAGCTCTCCCAGTTCTGTTATCTGTCGGAACACAAAATCGTAACATATAGTAGCCAGATTAGTTTAAAATTTAAATAGATTTTTATTGTTTAAACGATTACTTTCAAATTTTCAAGCACTTAAATTACGATATCCGTATGAATAAGCCTAAAATTGTAATATCTAAAGTAAATAAAATTGGACAAGTAATTTTAACGCGTTGTATGTAAATGTAAAGAATAAAGTTTACCAATGATAAATATGCGCCGCACCGACGTGCTCCACCTTTTGCCTGTTGTAGCATTTTTAGGTTTATTTATGACGCCGTGGCCAGAATCGAAGCCAACACGAAAAGTCCATTAATCAAAGGTTGGGAGATGGCGTCGACAACGCATATATGCATTGTGCCTGGCTGTGTTTGGGTCATTTTAACCTGACCGCCAACTAGTGGGCGCACTTTGTAACTGTCAGGAGCGCCTGGAGGCTGCGATGCGAAAGAAATCACTTGTAGCTGTTATAGTGTTCTGATGCTGATGCAACAAGTGCCGATCCAAAGTCCTCTGTTCTTGCTCCTCCTCCTCCTCCTCCTCCACCGCATGGATAACTGCAATGGGCAATAGATCATTTGCAGGCCGTGCGCTGCGAATCATAAATTACCGGGGACGACCAAGGAGCGGCGGATAGGGTACAGACCTCCGCCAATGGGACGACGCATGGCGTTCCGTTAGGAATCGTTGCCATCTCGATGATAACTGCGCAACACGTCGTATGCTTAATCTGTTATTTTTGCTAAAGTACACTGGAAAAGGTATACCCTAAGAATATCAAAGTTCCTTAAAAGTAAAGATTTAAGACTATTTCTGATAAAATGTATTTTAACTACTATGGTCCTAGTTTATAAAATTTATATAAAATTTTTCGAGATGAAAAGTTTTTGTTCTTATATATATTATATATATATATTTGGATATACTATAAAATATATATAATATAACACATCTGTAATGATCCTATGTTGATCATTGATTTCTTTGACTGTTTTCCCTTTCCAAGCCGCTGTCGCCTGTGTGGGTGCCGCTCGGCCTTTGATGAAATGCCCGCAGGCAAAGCTGATTAACCTGCACACACACTTCTTTGGGAAATGAGTGTCTGGGACCCAGATGTCTTCTTCTCACATGGCCATGAAATGGAGACTCCATCTGGGACTGGGACCAAGTTTGAGGAACTGTTGGGTCGTTGCTCAAAGTGCATGCCCAGTCCATTAAACAGTTCGTGTTGCACTCGTTTCGCGTGGCCATCCATGGGTATATGAGTCCATGGATTTCGTTCGGTCTGGGAATGGGTATGGGTTCAGGGCCTAGGTTTGGGATTGGGTTTTTGGTTTTGGGCTTGGACGAAGGCACACATGACAGCCAGCGTGCAGAATTGACCCCATGGGCGGGTGCTATAAAAATGCAGCAAAAGAAAAAGTACAAAATAAGACCATGAAATAGTGTGAAATGGGATTCGCAGTTGAAATACCCTAAGCCTCAGGGTAAGAAATTAGATAACTAAGTACAAGAACGCGATAACATTCTAAAATTAAATAGACTCTAGATAGTTTTTCATCGCCAAAATCATACCTTTAAACAACTTACAGCAGAAATATTATCAAATTCGTATCCGAATTTAAATAACAAAATGTACTCATCTACCAAACTCAGCAATACCCCTTAAAAAGGATTTAAAAAAGAGCCACTCGTGAGTCAAAAATCCCTTAGTCTAGCTGTCCCATGTAAATTGATGAATGAATCCGCTCCGTCATGTATTCGAAATGACTAACTCGAAACAGACTAAGCCATGCCGAACTGAATGTGGAGTTTTTTCCAAAATAAAGGCAGGAAATAAAATGACCAGAAAAGGCGCACCTACAAACTAAACCTCTCTAGTTGACAAGACTAAAAAATGTGGCCTGAATTGATTATGAAAGTGGACAACCTGACATGAATGAAAACATCATTCCGAACGGAGGCAGATAGACTTCTTAATTTCTATAGAGTTAATATTTTAGAAGAAAGAGCGATCCATAAGTTTTAAAATTTCTTTTTCAAATGCAAGACTAAAAGTGTAATTATATGTAATCTACTTACAAGCAAGTATTGCTTTTAGCCATGATTTTTCAGTTTTGATTTAAATAACTCGAAAATGTAAAGTATTTTTTGTTTAATTTATAAATGACTCCCTTTGTTACTGCTAGCAAAGTATTAGCTAAAAGTCAAAACCATGGTCAAGGCACATATGCTGGGAACGGGCATCTGGCAACAGGCCACTTGCAACTTGCAACCTTTCAACCATTATTCTGGCGCAAAAGTGCAAAGCGTTTTTATGCCGGCGATTATTACGCTTGATCCTGAAGCACCGAAGGGTCAATTGATGTTTGTGATGACGCTGAATTGTGTTGATGCTGCTCGTCGTACCGACAGCAAAAGCTATAGCAACAGCAAAAGCAACGGCCAGCAGCAACATGCAACATGCAACAGCATTGTGGTCACTTGTCTGCAATTTGCCTTGGAATTTTAAGCATAGGCGAATATCCCCCATTTCTTTTATTATACATATATATTTTTTCCCCCAGTTTTTTCTTTTTTGTAGTAAGTTGCTGTTGTTGTAGCTGCTGCCGAAAATTGCATTTCTTGGCCTGGCAGCGATAAAGCGTCAACAGCAATATTCGCTTTGCGCTGTGGCCAGTTGATATATCACTAGGCAGAGATAATGCCCCGCAGCCAAATCAGGCCATCATCAAAGCCGGCTTTTGATATAGAAATTATTTATAGGCCAAGAAGAAGATGAAGGAGGAACCAACTGAAGGCGGTCAGCAATCGTAAATCTAAAGATCCTTTTCTTAAAAGCTTAATTCCGAACAATTATTATGGACCAGCTGGATCTCTTCCTCATATCAAATTTGATGGGTCCCGGCCATGTTGCTGCTGTCCAGCGTGTAATTATATTAGCATGATCTATGCCATTACGCGCACACACATCGATATGCGGCAATTAGTGCTGCGGACGAACAAGTACAACTATCGACTAAACAATATGGCCAGCGGGCGTTTATAGCCAACGACAGGCCATTATTGACGCCACTCGATGGACTAGCCATCATCGATTGCTGCGGTTCCTCCATGTTGCCGGCTGCTGTCGTTCCTGCTTTCTGATTTCTGCCTTCTGCTCCTAGTGCTGCATGCAAATTGTCGGCGGCCTAAACGTTTCGCAAAAGTCAAAGGGGGCAATGTTTGGTTTTAGGGGAGCAGGATGGGGGGACAGTTGTCCAAACTAAGCTGGAAAAAATATTAAGCGCTGAAATGGCGCCCTCTCAGCTGAAAGTCATAAACACGCACTAATTGCAGCCGTGATTTGTTGCACAGAGCATTAATGGCGTTCACAGGACCAACATTGCGAAACGGCAGCAACATCGACTCAAATCGATGCCTAATTGCCCATAAATGGCAGTTTTCGTTGGCGACATCAAAAAGTAAAGCTTTCAGCAACAACACACACAAAAAGTCCAAGTGCCCTCTCTGATTTATAAACAAAATTTAACAACCAAACAGCGAGTTAGGGCATTAAAAATGATGTAGTTGCTGCTGTTGGCATGATGTTGCTACCGCGACGGCCCTGCAATTAGGCGCCACTCCTGGCGGGGTGGTCTGCCATGTCGCCAGTGTGGCGATCGAATCGATCGATCCCGTCGATATACAAATCGATTGCTTGATCTCTCACTTGCAACAGCAGCAGCACTAGGACTACCAGCAGCAACAGCTACTCCAAGAATCACCAGCAGCAACATGAAAAGTTGCTCGCGTGGTCAGCGCCAATTACTTAGAGCATATCAATTATATTACGGCAATGCATTGTAAAATAAATGCCCAGAATGATAGCCAGTTGCTGTGGCTGCTGCAGTTGCTGCTGATGTTGCTAGTTGTAATTGAACTGCGCGTATTGCGCAATTATTATTTTGTGCATTTGCAATTGCAAGTGCCTACTGGCTACACTATACTCTTCAACCTCAAACTTCCATCCTGCGTGTCTGTTCATATGTTTTCATTACTTTTGCCCATTATGCGTGTACGTGACGCACAATTTGAAATTGCCAGGAGTTGGGGAGCCAAAAGGCGGAGGGCTCATAAGCCGGATACACGGCGTCCAAATGCGCACAATTCCAGCCAGAAACCAGCAGCCGGCATTGACTTGCAGCTCCTCCTTTCAGCCAGGTCCAATCCACTGTGGATCGTCGTCTGTTTGTGGCTTTTGTTTGCTGTTCAAGTTTACAATTTTAATGCACTGCCACTTGACTGTTGACAGTGGTGCGTTGATGTTGCTGTTGCTGCTGCTGTTGGTGTAGCTGTTGCTGTTGGTGGTGTTGCTGCGGTACTGAATGTGTCAGTGTGTTGGATTATTGATTTTATGCTGTGTACGTGAACACAACCTTGCCGGTAGTCGCTGGTGTTGCTGTTGTGCATTTGGTGTTGCTGCCGTGCTGCAACGCCTGCATTTAGCTCTTATTTCGCACATGCCCGAAAATGAAATGCATGTTTATGTTTCCGTTTCTGTTGAAGCCATCATATGCTGATTCATGGTGTTAAGGGGAGAGCTTTATTATTATTTTTTCGGAACCAAGGTTAGCTAAATATGTGGAAGAGAGGGAGCTAGGCTTTTTATAGACAACGAAACCCGATGACACGCGCTTTTTTTTAAAAGTAATTTCAGATTTATGTGGAAGAAAAACATAAATGTTTGGCTTGGGATTTATTTGTTTTTATTGACGTTTTTGGAAAGGAATATCTTTTATTGCTTTTTAAGCACATACATTAAATAAGAAACTAAAGTTTTTGTAAAGTTTTCTCTCCATTGGGAATTATAAAACCATTATCTGCGTTTTAATTTTTTCATTAGCAATTTTTCTATGATTTTCATTCCTTGTATATTTTCCTGGCCTAGGATAACTACCAGCTTTCATGTTTGTTTTTATAATCACATCCATCTCAAGCCAAACCAATTTTGCAAAACAAGGTTGGCCTGGCACCTTTTGACCACCTAGATGTGGGTGACCCAAGCCCCATTAAGTACATTACCAATCGCACCAATAAGGGGCCAACAATGGATTCCTGGACTGACATCGTTAGGGCGCAACAATTGCTACAATTGCTGAATATGATTGAAGTACTTTCGAAGGTAACGAGGCAGCAGCGTCGAACATGGCCTTCATATCAAACTGGCATCAAA